AAACAAAAGTTTTAAAAGGTGAAAATAATCCAAAATAACTAAAGTAAATGCACCAATAGATACCACTGTAAACAATGTATGCCATGAATAATGTTTCATCAATTATTGTTTCCGCTTGTCCGCAAAATTGAGACATTAAAAAAATCTCTGGCCTGAACCCGCCCCCCAGCTAAATTCCTGCATCCAGCCCCCCTTGTCCGTGTGCACTGACGCATAATCCACCATTGTGGCTCCAATAATTGAAACGCTCATGTCGCAACTCTCTCTATGAAAAGCTGTGGCGCGGCCAACTGCTGCAACCAACTTCTGACACTCCTAACGCCCCCATAACCTCGTTCAATGCCAATCGCATGTTTTGTATGTTGTGAAAGTGACACTCCTGGACTCAAAGGTGCTTTGGCTAGATCATCTGCAACTTGCTTGATCAAAAGTTGTCATTTTTATTATTTGTATGCACTTTGTTTTCTTGTCCTTTTAGGGGTGTTTTTCTTGTGATAATTATTATCCAACGTATCGTACACACATAGGCCATCAATGCAAAGCTGACATGGTGTTGAGAACCAAAACAAAGGGAAAGCTTTGATCCTTGCTCTAAGTCGCCTTATTAAACAAATATTTCAACATTTGCTCTTAAGTCCATGACCGTTTAAAGGTTTTCCCTCCAAAATGTATCCCATTCTCAGATCTTCCCCTGCACAGTTTCAAATTGCGATCATGTACGCAACACTTTTCTTTACATAGTTTTTCTTAAAAATATTTTTGCTTCTGATGCAAACACTCACACCAGTACGCAAATTAAAAACAAAACAAAAAACACAAGCAAACTCACAAATTGGTAATTTTCTCACGAGCGTACGTTATTCACACGCAAGAGAACGCATTGAAACATTAATGAACTGATTCAGCGTGGAATATTCCAAACGACGGCACGAGACGCGACACGGCGTCTTCGAGACGACACCAGCAGTGGCGTTCGACAATTCCACAACCCATTCGCAACCCAGCCTCCGGAGTTTAATCCCAGAAAGGTCACGGGGTAGCGTCCCCTGTGCCCTGGGGGCATCTCCGCATGATGATTTCTGAGGAATCATCGTGTATATATAACATCGCATCTCAGAGATCGCTCAGCGCGTGGGTGTTCACGTCTTACACACACGCACACCCACGCTTCGGTCATTTCTCTCTCTATTTCTGATGGGTAAAACGGTGTTATTGCCGCCGCCAACTTTTTTTTTTAAACTGGGAACAGAATCTTTTTTTCCGGGGCTTACTTAATGAAACTTTAATTGCATTTTGCACGTCGGTCACGTACAGTGGGATTACTATTTTTTTCTGTTAAAAAAGTCAAGTCTCCAGGGCGCGGGAGATGGGAGTAAAAAAAAAAATTAACAATCCAACGTGGTTTTTGTTTGGTGTGTTTTTGTAGCTGTGGGAGCCTAAACTTGTGTGGGATGATGGATTTGAGTTGTAGTGCATGTTGCAAATAAATCTGGCTCAATGAAGCTGTTTCGCAACGAGTTAATCGAAAGAGGAATCTTTGCAGATAATATAACATGTGTGCCTACTAGCGGACCTGATTTATTGCCAAGAGGCCTTTTTTGGTAATGAAACCTTGTAGGTTTATGACTGTGCAATGGGTAAACCTAATGAAAAGAAAGTTGGCCTCAACATTATGTACATTATGAATTATCGACACGGCATACCCCGCTGACCTATCCAGGTATTGGGTACATAGGGAAAAAAAATTGATTTTTTCCCCAAAAGGACTGTCCACCTTTTTAAGCCCCCCCCCCCCGAACAGTGGTACTGGTAGTGGCATTTCATGATTGCCGGCGCTTGTAATTCCTGGAAAACATTTAAATAAATAAAAGCAACATGTCTCCGGGGGCACCCCCGGTTAGATACACCGTACACTCATGACTGCATACCGGGGTAACGTCTCAATCAAATGCAATTTTGTGCTGGGTGGCACGAGTGAAATTTGTGAATGTTATATTTCTCATTGTAATGTAATTGCATGTTTAATTTAAGATTTGTTAAGTCGAACCATGACACGTTCAATCCTTCTCCTTTTGTCTGATACGAAGAGAATGTTTTGTCGATAAAGGCCATTGCCAGAAGTTCGACTGTGTTCTTTGAATGGGCGTGAGCTAAATCCCTATTGAGTAAATGTAAATGAAAAAAAAATGAATTATTGCTGGACATAATGTCACAACCAATCTATAGTGGTTTAGAAATGATGAAGTCCTCATTATTACAGTCGATTTCAAGGAAACGGGGCTGTTATTGACATTATCCGATCTTCCAATAATGCCCACGCTTTGATGAAAAAAAATCCCCATGCAGTGCACCCGAAATAGATCTGCAAAATTAGGACTGGTTTAGATTCTCCGAACGACTTCACGAATGTACCCCGACAGAGAGGTTTTGTAGGGTAGATTGGAAAAGAATAATTCCACCCACCACGCGGAACAAAGTTTCGACATCCCGACAGGTGCCAGGTCCAAATCAACCGTTTCCCCTTTCTGGAGTTTGTCTACCAATCTCAGGCGACGTGTGAAATTGTCGTCAATGCAAAATTTAGAAACTGGGGCTCACAGTATAGTTCCAAACCATTTATTACAATTTTTCGGCGATGTTTGACACCGCTAAAAGTAATTAGACTGATATTTAAGTCGGTGTAACGACCAACCTTTTTTTTCTGGGAGATAACTACATCAAAACCAGCAAAGGAAAAGCACATCACGTTATATGCCGCAAGTCGGTTGGTTGCAACATGCATGGGTGTTGATGTCGCTAGCACACGATTTTGTCGGGCATAAATATACATTTTACATTTTTCCATCACATTACTTCCAGTGTACTTTCACCTGTAGGGAAAATTTCCTGTGATCTGAGACGACTACGATTATGTTTTCCGTCAACGAATTTAAATTGGTTTTCTAAAGTATTCCATATCACTCTCAAACTTTTTGAGACAGATTTACCAAAGAAATATTCACACAAAATGTGGCTTTCATGGACATAAAAAGTTACAGAAATCAAATCAATTGCTTGTTGAAGGTGCGCGTAAAATCGCAGCAGCACTTCTTGCCGACACTAACTGTAAAGGTTAAAATGCGACCAACGCCTCACAGGAAAAAAACTACATTTTTTTTATGCCTCCAAGTATTTGGTTTCTACAGTTTTCATCCAGTTGCATAAAACCCACCTGCTATAGCTGTATCAAGTACAGCATTATGAACTCGCAATTTTCTACTCTAATCATGGGATAAATTGTAAAAATCCCATGGTTTTAAGGAAACGTGATAGCACTGCATCCTGGGTCATTCCTTAACAAACAACTCAACGACAAAACACCCCACTTCGTATAAAAGAATCGCAGTGCTACCTAATCCCAGGAAAAGTCGCACCAGAGAACCCATCGGTGACATTTCAGATCGTGCCCGTTACCTTTGATATTTTTGAGCCTGGCGGTTGAGTGGGCTGCAGATGACAAGACAGTGGGAGAAAAAACCCATAAAGGTCTGGTCGCCCAGCAGAACAATATACCGTCGTGTTTGACACGCGAGGCTTACATCAAATTTATCAAGCAGAGCGAGAATGAGCGACGAATCTCCATCGGGGATTCGTTACTAGCCAATGAATAAGGAAATGGGCTCTATAGAATTTTAATGGAAGCTATTTGTGTTGTACTGGCGATCAAAGAGTGCGCGGGACCGTAGGTTGAAACCGACAAGTATTTTGCTTTGGTATATTTGTTTTCAGCTTTTAACAACGAGTTTTAGAGGGTACACCACGTTATTTTCACGATAGAAAACACGATGACAACGTAACATTCAGAACAATTTTTTAGTTTTAGTGAGTATAACTTACTAATATTAATATGGGAATTGTACACCTCTTGAAATTCGCTTTTGACTTCTGCCTACAATCGTTTTTACGAAGATTTAAAGTTAATATTCACTAACTGCCACTGTTCTTGTCAATTTCTGTCTATTAAAATGAAAACGGTCGAGGTCAATAAAAGTGACGTGACATTAAAATCTGTAATAGAATGACTTCGAACCGGCGTCCATGCAGAATCAATGCACGTTGTTTTATCGAAATCAAGTGCAATCGCAATGGTTACAAAAGGTATCCCACTCAAGCCAAATTGTTAGCGAAATCTAGAGGCTGGGAAATATCAAGAGGTGTATCAAGGGATGGATATTGCCGTCGAGTCGGCGGGACTAAAGACAGTACCGGTCACTCACCGTATCCCCAAGGGGCCCAAGGCGCTCAGCCCCCGATGTGGGATCAACAAGAAGTGGGTGAGCGACAATACTTTCATAAGAAATTGTTGAAGAGGTCTTCGTTCAAAATGTCATATCCCATTGGATAAACACATGAATAAAATACAACTATGCTAATTTCCTAGGCCTCAAAAAAAAAATCTCAAGGAGAGATTGGTTCAAATATCAAACAGAGCCACTAAAAACGTGAAAACCAAATGTTGAAATCACAACAAACTTTAAGACTGTGGAGATTTGAAGTATACGGGTATAAGCCTGGAAGATTAAACCGGATTAAACTGGAATATGAATCCTTTCAATATCATGAAGAAATATCACAAGAGCATGGACAGATTTGGATTTACAAAAAAAGTGGAGACAATATGGCAATTGCTTGCAGCAATACAGGCAGTCTTATCTGTTCATGCGTCATGGAAATATTATAGATGACATTTTGTGTCCAACATAGATTAGCTCCCTCGTCGCCATGACCATGACAGGTGTCCTCTCTTCTGTCAGTCATTTCATTCAATTCTGAATGTGTTAAAGTTTTTTAATACGTTCAAAGGAATGTAACAAAAAGAACTTTTCAAACACCCATCTTCAGTAGTTCGTTTGCAGCCGGGAAGAAGCATTGGGTTGATGTATGCTTGTTGGCTGGTTGGGTGGGATTTTCTCATGCCAGTAGGCTCTTGCCCAATGTACAGAGTAACAAACACAAGAATATATGCCTCCAAAACAATGGTGTTATTCCCAAGGCATCCATGACTCATCATACTTCCAGATGATGTTGTCAATGAGGCACCAGTAATCTTATACATGTACGCTCAACTCCTTCTCCCTAAAAATTCATTAACAGGTGCAACCAACCTCCAGCTGGACCGAGAGAGAGCACTATTTTCTTGATAATGGAGGCTTCTTTGGTTGGAACTAAACTTTGCTGGTTGACAAACGACTAGGAAATGCATGTGTCACGGTCCTGCTGCTACCAACAAAATGAACACTCCCGACCAACAAGGCTCTTTTCAACCGATGAGGGGGTGCTTCTGTTTGAGCGGATTAGATATCTGACTTGATCACGGCTGATATGCAATAACAGCGAACATTACTTAAAATTTTGTCCCCTGCTCTTGGAGGAAACCAATTTTCATTCATACCTGAGGGTGCACCTCTGTAAATAGGCCACAAATATGTCCACCAAGCAATAACAGTTATACACTCAAGATATTCTATATTAGAGAGTCCTGTGAGCCATGGAATTGGGGAATTGAAGAAACGTGCCACTGAACCTATGAGCAATTTGGTGCAAAAGTGGCACTGAGCCTCTGGCCTGGACTCAGGGATTCAATTCCGAGCACTTCGGCACAAAAGTAGCACTATTTAGCCGTTTTGCAAAGGGATGCTTTTTCAGCTACTTTTCCGAGTGGAGACATTTTCTTCATTTTAGGGGTGGTCTGCTTTGGGTGAGAATTTCTCAAATGTCTTGGTCAATCCACCAAACATTGAAAGGAAAATGAAAGATGACACGTTGATCACCATTTTTCTGTACTGCCTGAACACCCGTGAGAGTTGTGAGTATTTTAAAAAGAATTTTGATGGGGATTGATCACAGCTGTCTAAGGAAATTCGTTTTCTGGGGTTCAGCCTAAGAAGACCATCTGCTGTGTTACCAGTAATTTTCTCCCCTATCAACACCCCCCAACATATTAATCCAATACGTATTCCCTGAAGCAACTGCACCAGGGATGGAAAAAGTGAACGCAAACTTGAGGTGGCCGCAGCATGAGGAATGACTGAAGGCTTCCTACAAAAATCTGAGGAAAGACACTTTGTCCAAGTCGCCAGCAATGAATTATCACTGGTGGATGATGGGCATGGAATACTGCATAGAGATGTCTTCTTGCAACAGGAAGAAGTGAATAAGTCTGTTGTCAACAATATCTGCGGAGAGGACCAAATCAATTGCCCACATTTCAGCAAGTAAAGCAGGTGTAATTTGGACAATCAAATCAAACTTACTTAGAAAGCAACAACTTCAAAAGCCAAGTAAACTGAAGAAATGTTGATGAGTACAACAATCTATGCATTTTCTCTAAAGTCACACAACTAAAACATACTTATTTTGATGTTATTAATTATTGATTACATAACAAATTACATACACAATTTATTTGCATGTTTTGCATAATATACTATGACATGTAATTGAGCATTTTTCACATTCCAATTTAAAATGTTGATAATTTTGGAAAATTAAAACTGCCATGAAGATGTATCTCACTGCATATAATCTTTGGTGGGTTCAGCTGCTGGCCAGTAAGGAACTGAAGGAATCTTCGGATGTCAACTCTGGCACCAACCATCTCGTCTGGTTGCCTCCCCTGAGTCTGGGACTCAGACCCTTCATTGACTGCCAGAGATAGATTAGTAGCAAACAGATCATTAGACATTTCCCTACAGAGGTCTGGATTCCAGATCATTTTGAATGTAGGTTTTTGCTGAGAATGTCCTTAGAAAAAGAGGAAATAATTTGTCATCTATCAGTAACTGACGAATGTGTCAGCCATAAAGTTTTTCACTGTCAAATTAGAATCTGTCTAACTCCTTTAACACATGACCATACCCCATTCAGGGATTTCCAAGTCCTTGAAGTGTGTAGAAACAGTCACCTGGTCAGTCTCCACCCTCAACCTCATCTCACCATTCTGATTGGCTGATAGTTCCTAGGCTCATGAATATACAAGAGAAGAAGTGTAAGAGCAAATTTTGAATGGATAGAGGTTGACAAATACCGTCCTTGTAATACATTGCAGCAATTTAATGAATTCATCACATAAACCATAAGAGAACTGAACAGCACCAACTTCGCTGTTCATCAACATGGTGTTGAAGAAAGACAAGACAAGAGTTGGATTTGAACCTGCAACCTTTGAAACCCTAAAATCCTCAGGGTGGCCGATGACATATCTGTAAGAAGTTTTGGAACAGTGAGAGCACATTTACCATGTAGCTTCCAAGGTTTTTCATTCTTTCAACTACATTCCGCAAGGCTTTCAGGGGTGGCATGCAGATACTGACCTGCAAATGAGGAAAATGATGAATTACAAATAACCATTGGGTTGATAAAGTGTTCTATACAAAAGATATTTTTCGCTTTCATGTTGTGCATCTGAAGTAAATATGTTTCCTTATATTAGTGTGATCAAATTACATTGGTCGACAAAACCAATTTCTTCCCCATTAAAACATTTCCTGAACGCAAAATTCTGACAACAGTAAAAACTGCTAGCATTTTACTTCTTATTGGGTAATTCTTTAAACAAAACCAAAGATTCATCAAAAGTACACAGATTACGGACTTGTAGGGGTGGGAGAAAAAATCGTCAAGGAATCAAGTAGGGACTGACAACTCAATCTAAATATCAATCACTGCTGGATTCAAACCTGATCACAGGTGGAACGCCAGGAAAGTACCACCATGCCAACCTGACCGTGTGCCCCATTTTTAAGAATGTCCACATAGACATTTCAAAGCCTCTTTTTAAGATGGAAATACTCACATCAAAGTCGGGAACAGTGGGTTCACTGTATTCGCTCCACAAACTCTTGGGGATCACATTGACTGGTACATCATGCACGACATTACGACTGTGTCCTGTCCTTGATGGCTGAAATAACCAGTGTGAAAATACAGTGAATTATCCAATTTGCTCTAATAATTTATCAACTAAGGTAGAATGGTTGAACAGAAGGGAACAAACTATGACCATGATGGACAGCATGCTACAACCAAATCCAACACTTTTTAGGGACTATAAGAATCGATTCCACAACCAACACAAAATTTCAGCTGGAACTGACCGTTGGCAATTTTTTTCAGTAACAAAATGATGGACCCTTACAAGTTCAATGTCGAAAGTGAGGCAGGGGCTGAATTTCTTTGTCAGTTTCACTTTCACCGATTTGGCGGTCTGCGCCGTCTTCATGGCTCGGACAACATCCTCTGGTGTGATTTCCAGATAGATCTCGTTGGCCTCCTCAGACAGGCCTTCCATGCGGTACTCGTCAAAGAAGTTGCTCTGACAGACAGAGGGCCAGCATTAATAAACATGTATACTACTTCAAATAGTCAGTGAGAGGCAATTTTATGAGGAGCAAATGTAAACTATTCCATCGCAAATTCATTTCATGTAATACGTAATTATCTTCACTGTTATCAATGTAACATTCTAGCATGGCAAAGATTTACATTTAAGTTTTGGTTTGCTCATTTTCCTCAGCAAACTTGGGCCTTCACAATTGGTTATTAATTTCTCTATTGAATTTATGCTCAGTCCTGGAAAAACGATACAGGTTTTCTTTCCCAATTTTTCAAATTACATTCTCTGCTTAGTCATGCAGCTACATGTGCTGCTATGTAATGCAATTGATCAGGTTGGGTGCCGGCAATGAGGAGAATTGTTCCCAACTTACCGCAGTTAGTTCACACCAGATACCTCCCTTGGCTACTTTGTCATTCAGAATAAAGTACATCTTGTTGACAGTCAGTCTTAGAATACAGAGTGGTGTCATCTTGGAAACAGTACTCACAACTCCTTTTACCAGTGAAAATTTAAATTTAGTAATTTACACCATAACACATGGCACGCTTTGAGGAAACATTCATAGGAAAGTCCTTCTAGGTCAATGACACATGTGCAGGCCTTTGGTCTAGTCTCATCAAATTTTTGGACAGTTTTTGCCATAGCCTAGTCCTATGTCAAACTGCAAAAGGTGATGGGCCCTACAGCTAGTAGACTAAATATTAATATTTATGAAGTACACAGTAAAATTAACTTAACCTCATGCTAATTTAACAAGTGTATAATTGCCTAAAGTTGGTCTGAACAAAACTTGTCCACTCAGTCTGACCTCAGTTCAATCTCTATTGAGGAGTTTGCTACACCTCAGCCAGTGATTATGATCTGATGACTGAGGGTCACATAAATTCATGCTGAATTGAAGCATGATAGGATATCCATGCAAATACCTTGGACTACTCCACAACGTTTGGCCAAGGAGAACCTTCTTTCACAATCATAAATCACAGGACTCAATCATATGCCAATTTGTCTGCAAAATCACAAACTCTACTTCCAGACATACATGATAAGCCCACTAACTGCCATGGTGTGTTAGAACTCCTTTCTTTGAATTTCTTTCTTTCTTTTTCGAATTCTGGACTTGATCCGAGTGTGTGACAAATTATTACTATCATTATTATTATTGCTTATTTCTTACTTATCCTGGGTTTTCCGTTCAGTTTTCTATGGATCCTAGTTCACACAAAACTACTAAAATACAGATCGAGTCCAAACTTCAAAAACAGGAGTTCTAACGTCCCAGTTAATGGATCTACTTCCAGACAGGAACATGGATGACTTGGAAGTAGGACAATGACAGTTTAGTAAGGTCCTGGGCTGAAGTCTCAAGAATAAAGTCTAATGACATGAAGGAGTGTAATGTAATTAAAGATTAATCACATTGGTAATTCACAATTTCAATTTTTATGAAATTCGGTTATATATACACGTATATAAAAAAAATCCAATAGGTAAAAACTAAATAAAGATTGCTACTGACATCAAAAGCATGAGTAGGAGTCATTCTTCATATCGGGCAAACTGAAAACGAAAGTTGTCAGTAGCATCCAATAGAAGCCTGCTTGATGATGTCACACTATGGCTCTGCAATTATACGACTGTTTCGTTATTTTGGGGCACCCACGTGCGTGAGCGCTGTGCTTGCTCACACCAAACTGTGAATTACAAGAGGTCGGACTGTGAGCGCAATTTGGAATTGCTTTTCCATTGACAATGGTGGCCAATACTGGATCATATGATGGAGTAAAGCCTCCCAATTTGAACGGAGTAAGGTCCTGACGAATGTCAGGCAGATGGCTGTGTTAATTTGCTGGGAATGACATCTAGGCCTAACTTAATTTAGGCTACCATGGCTACCCCTTGTATCTCTGTTCTTTAAAACTGTTACGGCTGCAAGGTCAAGAAACTCTGGGGGAATGAGAGCTGTTACTATCCACTCCAAGCGGAACAAAAGAGCGCTTGTTTGTAAATGAAACTGACTGTCCTTTTGGTATGTAGGCACGCAAGTGTATTATGCACATTTGACGTAGAGTACACCAAGTATGTGCAATGACCTTTACATAGGCCTACAATAAGTACAAACATGTACAGATGACGTGCAAGAACCTGGTTGTGACCATCTGTCTTTCTTATGCCGATTGGGGGTGCACTTCCGCTCAGGCATGTCAGGGCGGATTATGACATCACCAAATCACTAGATTTGTTTGCCGCCCTCAATGACACATTTTTGGAACTGAACTCCCAAGAACAGATCGAAGCTGCCACATTTAATAGTCCTGATAAAATTTAAATTTTAATTAACGGTAACATGACCACTTCCCTGTAAATAACCATTTTAATGAAAACATGTCTAGCTCCACACCCTGAACAAAACCTCAAGTTGGTGTGATGTTTCCTGATCATGAGATGATCTTTTATTTAACATGTTTAAGAAAGTTTAACGTTAATAAGAAGAGGTTGACGACGTAGGCCTATGACGTCAAACGTGCCAAAGCTGAGTTTCAAAAAATGAAAAACTTGACATTACAATCAACCCAAAATTTCAAGCTTACTTGTAAACTGCTCTATACAGCCAATGTCTACGACTTTGGCTCGAAATCGCATGCTTGATTCTGTCTTTTAACGAGGAGGCTTTGAAAAGTAACGATGATGAAATAAGCGAACTCAGGCCTCAGGCCACCTCAACTTTATAGCCGTGCAAGCAGACGACGTCAATTTTGATCTCGCGCGCCACTTGTAATAGGTTCAATCATGTCAATCATGTAGTCTGCTCATGGACGTAGGAAATGTCTGCTGCACTCTTCGCGGAAAAGTTATTATTATGAGTCTGGATACCAAACAAAATCGTAAATGGTGTTCATGAACAATTTTGTTTAAATTTTAATTTTATCTCTGGAAAAACTTGCAACAAATTCATCAGAAATATAATTTTAACTTTTCCACAACAAAAAAAGAAAACATTTTTGGATCAATATATCTTTGACTTATACACCCTCTTCACGGGGTTTGACCCTGTGGCCTAATGGATAAGGCGTCAGCCTCCGGAGCTGAAGATTGTGGGTTCGAGTCCCATCAGGGTCGGAATTTTTTTATTTTAACAATAGGTGAAAATAGGAAGTGTTTCATTAATCATAGTTGTGTCTCAAATGTGGCAAAATCCATTTTATAGGTTTATTTTACTTTGTAGTAACTTTGAAAACAATACGCATTTTCAATTCACAAGACCAATAGATGGCGCTGTTCGTTTAGTCAAGACAAAACGACATCAAATCACCTGCTTCATGGGATTGGATCCTAACAGTATTATTTCATTAAATACATTGCACACATGAAAGCAGAATAAGGGCTTACCCGAATAAAACCTAAAATCAAAAATCTGGATATAAAAAAAATATATTTTTATGCTCCAACGTTAAGTAAAACTTGAATCGAGACTATGCGGTAGGCCACTGACTGGGGTAGGTGTGTCATCGATCTACAATTTGATTGGTCGTTGTTTAATCAATGGTAATAAAAAGCGACGCTAGGCTGTAAACATTGCACACATTAAATTTGTCTACGTGTATAAATTGGAACAAATATTTCTATACTTGGCCTAGTGACTAGTAGGCGGCTGTGCGGTTATTATACTTTTTTTCTTTGTTAATTGTTATATGTAGAAGACTTACATGTAATTTTTTTGTCTTTCGTGTCCAGTTATGTCTTTATAAGGGCCCCTACTCGACAAGCAGTGCTTCGTAGTGGTCCTGCCACCTTTGTGTGTGAAATAAAGTGAAGTGAATGAATGTTACTGGACACTTACCGGATACTTTTTCGTTTCTTAATACCAGTGCATTGCAATATTTATCGTTCTTGATTCCTGTTCTTTCTCTGTAAATTAAATCTAGTATCACCATGATCGCTGGCAAAAGAAACCGACGCAGATGAAGATTCGGTTGTGACAGTTGTTACCCGCTCATCTACGGTTCCATCAAGTCTCAGGTTAGTCGTAATATAGGTAGACACCAACAGTTGTCAAACAGGGACATGGAGCTTCTAATCCACAGAAAGTGCGATTGTTGAGACAAACGGCCTTGAAAGTTTAATCCATTGATCGTCAGGTAGAGGTTGAAAGGGGTCAAGCTTATCAAGCCTGGATAGATTCAAAGTGTACTCAATTTGCAAGCAAAGCAGAAATGCCACCACATAATGCAGTGCTGCAGAGAACAGTAGGGTACGTAGGACTACATGATTCAGGTAAGTTCACGCACACACAAAAACAATATCAGTGCAGAATTGCGGTGATTCGACAGCCAACATTGTGTCTTGAAAGTGTGGATTTTCTTTCTTTCTCTAAATTCTAGGTTCAAAAAGACAAGGAAAAGCATATGGAAATGGAAACTCGTGCAGAAAGTAAATCAAGGTATAACTCTGGTGGAATGATAGTGGCTTTGCATTGTAACTAAGCATTCTGTGTATTGGTTTATACTTTGTGAGAAAGTGGAAGCAAGCAAGAATGGTCGTTTCAATGTGGGATCAACCATTGCTGCAACAGATATACTTCATTCTTAAATTCACATTGTGCATGAACCGCGCTAAAGAGCTCTCTCTGTTCACTTAGCCACAGCCTACTTTGTCTGACAGACCATTCCAATATTATTACACAAACTGACAAATAGCATACAGTGATATTATTCCACAAATGATTTTTCCACTTGACAATCAGAGCCAACAATGATGGTTCTGTGCGACCTCCAAACCCATACCTGGAACAGCAAGAAGTAGATGTTTTGTATCACCTGGGGCTGTCCACAGATAAGGACCCTCTCCCAGCACGCTTTGGAGATGTCAGGGTAAAGCAATAGATGGTGACTTTCACAGTACTGGTTATCTATGCATTGTTTTAATTTCCTTTTGTGTTTATAAAGAGGCACAAGTCTTTGTTTTTAAAGCAAATAAAGTAGGCTGCCTGTCATAAAGATTCTTTGTTGAAATGTTCACTTTCCTTCTCCTTTGTTACCTACGTATTGTAATGCCTCTAAAGGCCCAACAGCAGACATATGGCACTTGGAAGTTGGGAAAGAAAGTTGCATGAAACTTAGTTACAGTGTTTTTCAACTTGTAACGGGGAGTTACGTTGGCTGAGGGATGGTTTGGATACCATCCACGTCGGCATGTGGAATTAGGTTTTCAGTCCTTGCCTGATTCTGTGGGTTTTCCCCAGATTCGGTAGATTTTATCTCCAAAAATGGATACTTCTTTTTTATCTTTTCCCCCCAGGGTCCCTAGGAATAACAGTTTTGTTCATGATGTAGTGCTTTGCCCAGGTAAAATAAAGAATAGGTGCCCCAAAAGGAGTCACAAATTAGGAAAACAGGTGATTTGTAGAAAAGTGGCATGCTATGATAAATATTGAAATGATTCCTAGAAATGCTCGTTCGTTGTGTTCTTTGTGATGCTGCAGTTTGTCTGCATGGGTGGAAGTGCGACAAGAATGAAGCGATTTGCCGAGTTCATCGCCCAACGTCTCGGCTTCAGCGACCACAATGGGGCCCTCCTGACTGACTTGTGCAGCACCGATCGCTACAACATGTACAAAATTGGCTGTGTTCTCGCAGTCAATGTGAGTGGAATTTTTTCCAGTGTTCCTGCCTGTTCTAAGCTCAGCGCACTGTTGGAAACCCACTCACCGTGTGAATCAGTGACGACGTTACACTACAAATTTGTAAAACCGAGTGACCATATTCAGAAGCCATTATTGTGGACTCAGTTCCGTTATCTCAAAAATTTGCCACAAAAGCAGCTCATCTGCACAGATAAAGGTCAAACTATTTTTGGAATCCAGTCAGTGAGGAGAGATATGGGTTAGATTTGGAAATGGTCATGTTTTTTTACTGGCAGCATGGAATGGGCATGCCTTCCATCTCCATTCTGCTACACGAGTTGATCAAGTTGGTGCATTACGCTGGCTGCAAGGATGTGGTTTTCATCCGCATGGGCACGAGCGGCGGACTGGGCCTGCAACCGGGCACCGTGGTCATCACGGACACAGTGGTCAATGAGATGTTTGAACCGGCCTATAAACTGGTTAGTTGCAATTCCGTATGACTTTAACTTTGACTTAGACTATGACTAAGATTGGTGGCTGTTTGGAAAAAGGACTCCATTGTGTAATGATCCATGCGGGGGGTCAGGGTGATACTTACTCATGCATGTCCCTTTTTCCTCCCTCTCTTCCAACATCTGTATCGATGGACAGTAGCAGTGTCCTCCAAAAAAAGAAGAAACACAGCGAATGGACATGTTACAAAAATTGGATAGTTTACTCGTCGTTTTCCTCCAACCTCAAAACTAAATTACAAGTACTTGGAGAACTACATGTTTGGACTTTTGACAGCAAGGGTTGTCTGCCTGATGAGTATGTAGATATGTTGGAGCCATGTACTCTACTTACTCACTGTCAATTTTCAACTTAATGTGTACAAAAATGTGAGAGGAGTGAATGATACGTCCCTGGAGATCCGTTATAATCATTTGATTTTGACGCCGGCAGCTAATGTTGATCTGTGATCTTTATTTCCAGGCTGTCTTGGGCAAGATCATCAGCCGTCCAACGAAGTTGAGCCAGGAGTTGGCATCTGAGCTGCTTGCTGCCCACGATCCAGGTGCGGACTATGCGGTTGTCACTGGTAACACCATGAGCACCTCAGACTTCTATGAAGGTACACATATTTGATCAACTTTTGCTTATGTTCTTTGTCAGTGTTACGGCTCTTTCCATTAAAGGTCTATCACAAGTTTTCACAGGTCCTTCACAAGTTCATCGTAAGTCCTCACAAGGCCATAATAGATCCTCACAAGTCATCAAAGTCCATCACAAGTCCTTACAAGGCCATCACAAAAGCTCATAAGTCCAACGCAAGTCCTCACAAGTCCATCATAAATCCCTGAAAGTCTTTACAAGTCATCCCCAATCCATCACAAGTCAATCAGGAGGCACCTGTCTCAAGTCCAGTGACAAAATATTCAAATGGGCATTGTTCTTCACCTAATAATGGGAATTGACTTGTGTACACACTGACTCTTAAACACTCATAGACGTGTAATCAGCCAGCAGTAGGAGGTCAGTTCTTTACTCACCGAGCTACTGATTCATACTACTGCTTTATTTGGAACCTTTTACTTTTTTCGTTCAGGTCAGGCAAGGATCGATGGAGCTATCTGTGAGCATACTCTGGAAGACAAGATGGTGTACCTCCAAGCAGCCTATGACGCTGGTGTACGGAACATTGAGATGGAAGCTTCTTGCCTGGCAGCAATGTGCGGCGCAGCTCAGATCAAAGGTTGGGATGATTCTGTTGAGTCCTGTAGCTCCCTGTTCAGGATCATGGCCTGGTGTTACATTCGATTCATAGCTGGATGTCACCTAGGTTGGCCTGTGAGAAAAAGTGAAACAACATTAATTGTTTGTTTTGATTTGTTGCTTGTTTTCTGTTGTTATGAGACTTTGCAGATGTGGTGCTGACAGACAGCCAAATGCTCTACCCTAGAAGGGTTATTGGTGACCCTTCATTCTAAAACCAGGCTCAAAGAAGGCATTGTAATGTCTGATATTTCCTTCCTCGCTTTATGTTCATACTTCAAAGTGATCGATATTGAAAAATTTGTCTGTTGAAAGCTTTGATAGTTACGGGTAGTGAAAGTTGTAGACTATGCAATGTCCATGTGTATACTAGTGTCATTGTCCTGATTATAGCTAAGAAGCCTGCTCTGGTCAGCCTGATTTTAGAATAACGGGTCATACTCACAGGCGGCGGAATGGTTTTCAGGGAAGGGGGCAGTTTCGAGGCTGTCAGACGTCAGCCATAAATAGGCCCATCCATTAAGCCCCACCCTATTATAGGACCGGCAAAAAAGTGGAGTGGGGCGGGGGCACTCCCCTTACTTCCATCGCCAGTGGTCACACTTTTGTAGCAATCTATTTGCCTCACGAGGTTTTTTGTTACCTCTTTAAAATGCACTATGAACTCTTCATCTGCATGCATCTCTCAGAAATCATCCTCAGAAATAAGGCCATTCAAAGATTTCCAAAAGTTCTTCTCCAAGAGAGTCACTTGTCAGTTACCTCAGGCAACTCCTAGTATGTCATTGCCATGTATTTCCAGGGGCTGTGGTGTGTGTGACCCTCCTGGATCGGTTGCTAGGTGACCAGGTGACCATGACCGAGGAGGAACATGACAAGTGGGAGCAGCGCCCTCAAGAGTTGATTGCCAGATTCTTCCTAAATAGACTGCGGAGGGATGCACTGAATTGAGCGGTGAGGAGGCAGAGTATTGATGGAATTCAAAAGCTAAACCAGTGCCTTGCTCAGAAGCAATGTCATCAGTGGATGCAGTGCCAAGTCGTATTTCAAACGCCAAGTCGTATTTCAAACCAGATTAGTTAGATTTACCCAACAGTTCTTAATCTTTCGGTATTTGAAATCAGGACAGCCGTGGTCATGGTTAAATTTTTTTTTTGGTAGTTTTTAATCCCATTCCGTGGAAAGCATTAATGTTTTACAATTACTATGTTTTCTTTTTTATGTTCTTCTTTATTCCAAATCCATACTCGGAGGAAAGTGTTTTGTCAATGTAGACATGACAAAACTTCACCAAAAAAATGTGTTTGGAGGATGAAAACACAAATAGTAAAGGATTTATTGTCCCTGAAATGAAGTCTTTTGTTTAGAAAAGGTCCTTGAACTTCCATGGATGTGCTAGGCCATGGGGGAGAGTGTAACTTAAAGAAAACAAAACAATCAGTGGCTTGTCCTTTCAAAGTAAGGTACAATAAGAACAGTTGGGCTAGAGTGTATGCTTTTCTCAGGGATCTTATGTCTCAATCAGAATGATACTGTCTGCTTTGCACGGAGCTAAGATGCAGTGATCAATATTTGGCAATCCTCCAAACTTTAATATTTGTATGAATCCATTAAGAGTTGAAGAGTGCCCTCTATGGTAAAGGACAGACAGGATGACAGGAATGATTTCATGTGGGTGCTCAATGCACATGTGGAGGTCTTACTCTTAAAACAGATATTGGTCCCACTTGTTCCTGCTCGGAGCAGATAATTAACAAACGTATGCATTGTCACTGAGTGTTTATGGGTGAAGAACATATCTTTTTCTTTATGGATTTAGGTTATTTCATAATATTTAGATTATACACTTAGATTACACAAGGTTTGCAGAATTTTTGTGAGAAAAATGGTTGAAAATACTGCTGTTTGGGGGTACTGCTTACCATCATAGTTAGTCCTTCCTCATTGAAGTTATGTTAATAGTTATAAATTCAAAATGGCAAATTCACATGGCCCACATTGGGCAGTCTTGATACATTCCCCAAATGTTGGGCACAATCCCTTGCTGCCAGGACATTGATTGATGATCACACGTTATTTATAATCCATGAGAAATAAATTGACCAAGTTTGATAGTACCCTCAGGCTTGATTAATTTAGTAACGCTCAGGCAGAAACTGAAACGCCATAAAAGTTGACCTTGCTTAAAAATGCAATGAAATATTTTATCGCTTTTAAATATTTAATCAAATGAAATGATCTTTCAGAAATTCCATCCGCATTGTGCCAAAAATTCCATGAAGTGGATTTCTAACTTGAATTATGAGAGACTATTATATTCTAAAAATGTTACCCTATGTGATCTTCAAAACTAGTTTTTATGATGTGGTAAATGCCCGCGTTTTGTGCATTTACACTGCAACAATAACAATGCTCATATTTCAAACATGGCAACTTTTATTCTCTCATTGAATTTTTAAAACATTTATTTTACATGTATGTGTTAACGGAAAGACATTGTGAATGAGGAGCTCTGTTTGTACCCAACATCGTATTACATGAAGCATGGACATTGTTCTACCAATCTGGTGATATATCAGCAGTACGGTAATTACAGGTTACATCGTAAAGAATTCTCCAAATTTTTTATCAAATGGGAGCATTTAAGTAGTTTCCTTGTGAAGTAAACATTACCCTGAAATTATAACGATTCTTTTTTCTTTCACATTAATTCCATTGTTCTTCAGATATGTAGCAAATGAAATTTTGATGAACATTTGAAATCAAAATGGCAATAAATGGCATGAAAAGAGTACGGGTTCTGGGTTTCTCTGACCCCAGGAATGCTAGGATGTCAGCAGGGCACATATGCAGACATAAAGTTATATTTTATTTTAAATTTATAACCGTTGTACATGTATTGCTTTTACCAGGTCAAATCTCAAAATTGCTTGTACATTGTATTCTTGTGTGTAAGTCTTTACAGTTCACAATTGGAATTACATGGTTTTCATAGCTGTACTTGGAGTGAACAACTTGTTCTAGATTTAGACTTATAATTATTTTTGTTTTCCTGAATCTTACTCTCAAATAATCAGTCAGGACAAATTTATCCTGTTTGCTGTAATCGCATCCATTTAGCAAAGTGAGTGTTGTTTATTAAAATGTTATCCTGAGACAATTTTTACATAGATTTGTGATAGAGACAGCGAACCAGTTTGTGGTATTTCAAAAGTCAAGGTTGTCCAAAAACAAAGCCCGGTTGTGAGTACATGTACATGCTGATAGGGTAGACTCCACACACCCTTAATTGCTGTTCCCGAATGACCTCAGAAGTGTTTTATTTTGGGCATGCAATGTTGTTGATAAATGGTTTTAACTGGGGTTATAATTTTAGTCACTCTAAAATAGTTTCTCTTTAATTCATTTATATTGGGATGGTGGTTATGTATTTTATTTTAGGGGATTATGTTTGCAGGGACAGGTGGCCATTATTGTAAAAGTACAATTACCTACAGGGTACCCCAAGTAGCAGGGACTTACCATTTATATAATGCCAACTTCCCATCATGCAGTGTTTCTGGGTGTGTTTCTGATGCTTCTGTGTGACCTCTGACAATAGAAGTGATCTTCATGCATCATCAGCGTCGAGGAATGGTCACCTTTTATTCTTGAACAGGAGAGCCGAAGTTTGAGGTCTATAGTATTCATAAAAAGAAAGAGAGGAACCTTTACTGTTTGTGAGGTTTTTCCCAAAACAAAAATATTCTTTGAGCTTACACACGCCAATGACAATGGCAATGCTTGGGGGTTAAGTTCATATCAGAAAAAACAACTGTGCAACATCTTTAACAGAACTGGCAAAAACCAAGAACAAATGTAAAACAAAACACAGAATGAAAACAAAGAAAATCTCAAATTTATCTTTGATATAAAATTTGTTTATTGTTATTTGAAACTTTATTACAGTTTTTTTTTTGTCTGCATGAGACTCTGGATTTGTGTGCATAATTTTACAATTAAAAAAAATCACTACAGTAACTTTTAATCTCACAGTCAAAACATTTCAACTTGTGGATTTGCTTAAATCCCATAACATGAATTGCCTCAGCAGTCCACTGCATTAACACACATTTTCCTTTTCATGACTGGCTTGAGATATTGCTTTCACATATGCATGTATTGTTACCAGCTTAACTAGAAAAAGAACCCATGTTTTTCAGACATATTTGACTTGGTCGATATTATTTCACCTAAAAGCTATGTTAAATAACTTTTAACAGTTGATTTTTTTTCTGAGTTACATAGATTTTAACCCCAATATTTGTATGTATACGTACAATAAAAACATCTGCAATTCCCCTGTCCACAATATGGAGAAAATGTGATTTTTGTTTCCCCTTATTCCCTAATTTAGTCCCTAATTTAGCTCCTGGAGCATCATAATGACACAGAACTTAAATAGCCAATTTTTTTAAAGCCCATTAAGTCTAAGAAGTTGACACTGCGCAGCACATGAAGGCATTACCCCCATCACACCTTCCATCACTTTGATAAAACATATGGGAAACAAGATGTGCATGAGCTGCAATCATCAAGAATACGTTCAAAAATGCCGTAATTGAAACTCACACTTGGATGTGATTTCTTTTTCAGCAAAAAAAAGAATTCTGCTTAGGCAGAAAAAGATGATTAATCTTCAGTAACAGTATTGCTGGGTATTGAGTGATTTCGAAGTCTGGGTTTTCTTTTACTGTCCTTTTACTGGGAACTCCCCTCTTTGGCAGCGAGCTGGTTATAAAATGGTCTCATTAGGGGTAAAATATTAACTATGACTATGGAAATGCTTGGCTAATGGGAAAACAAGTACTATTGGAATTTACTTTAATAATCTCCTATAAGACATCAAGTCAGGAATTGATCATGCCAGACAGTTTCTGGCAGTGTGTAATACATCTGGCAGTAATTGTGAATTTGCTCCGAGTGGGCGTGAGCTCTTAGGCAACTTCATCCAGGGAGTCACACAAGCCTAACTTGACCAAGAAAGAAAAAGCGCCTGTTGAACACAATAGATCCAAACCTCCCCAGGTGACCTACACATTACCGTTTTGAGTAGGCACATTTTGTAAAATGGACACAAGCCTTGTTTCCCGCCCCCCAAGATACAGGAAATTTTTACCCGACAAAAGGAGATAAATCTATATCCCAATGTTGTGGTTTTTTCGGGGGGGGGGGAGATGGAAGAGAAGTGGCAACTGAAGGAAGCATATTCTAATATTAGTTAAATTCAGGGTCAACAAAAAAGCTGGAAACACTTAGAAAATTGAATTCCCACACCCATTTTTAAATAAAGTGCTCAGTGTTTTGTATTGATAGGCCAATGAGACTGCTGAATTAATCGAGCTTAGCATCAAGGATATAGGAATACAGACTCCGAATGAATTCAAATTACACAATGATATTTCTTAAGTATTTGGGTGCCAATAAATGTGATTTAAATAGGTCTTGCTGGAAATTACCTTCTTTGTTTGCGTCTATGAAAAAAATACTCAATTAAGCACAATCTCTTAATACCGTGTCAATTGTACAAAACTTTGCTGCGGTAACACATTCACCATCTAAGCATGCAATATGCCTTTGGATTCGGCAGAGGACACAGAGAGGTGAATTTGAACAACGACGAGGAAAAGAGCAGGTGCCAACATTTTAATGTCACTTCGCAGAACAAAGACACACATACGTATCCTAAAAAAAAACCAAAGACCATATATACAGCATTTAATGACAATTTAATTTTTTTACACATACAATATAAAGAATAAATATCTTCTACACATAAAAATATATTTGTACAATAGCCCAACACTCTGCATAACCTTTTGAGTTTTGTAAACACAAACCAGATGAATACGATGAACTTCTTGCCTCCCAGACAACTTCGGAACCTTCACTTGATGCTTTCAGATGCTTTCTTCAGATACGCTGGCAGTCCAGAATGATTAGAACTGGGCAAAGTCTTTTGGACATTTCTTTATGCCCTCTGACCCTCCTGCCAAAACAGAAGACTCGATTACAGGCGCGGTTCTAGAGCCCAATTTTTTTTGGGGGGGGAGGGGGGCCTAGACCCTTCACACGTGATGTCACCTGTTAACTTTCGATACTGCTTTAGACAAAAGTCTTTGGGGGCCGACTCCCCCCCAAACAACAGCACCTGGTTGGCTAGTTAACTTGTAAGTAAAACCACAGGACCCTATGCACATCAAACAAAAACAGCCTCGGACTTTACAGTTGGAAATGGATAAGATATTTATACAGTGTAAATTTGTTGATTTATTCTTATTTTTTAAATACATCAGAAGGGGTGGCTGTGTGTCCATAAGGATGGCAACAGCATTATCACTATGTATACACAGCATATAAATTATTACAAGAACTGAAGACTTCATCAACATGAATACGCCTTTTTTTTCTATACACAACATTTTAATTTGTTTTGGTTTAATATATTAGTTATCTACCAATAACATACAACCGGTGGGTAATGTTCACAAGATGTCAAAAGAAATGTTACGTTTGATAAATTAACAGTCCTCAATCCTGCACCAGGTGAAGCACTGAAGACAGCTAGGGTTAACCCTAACAGTCCTCAGTCCTCCAACAGGTGAAGGATTGAGGAGTGTTAGGGTCAGGTGTCTCTATACAAAGGACGTAACGCACCACTCCTACACAAAGAGCACTTCACTTTAAGATATCAGATGTTATTCAACTCAAGGACAAAACAAAAAGAAAACAAAATGAAAAATTTGTCCCTTATTTGAGCTGGTTGGCTAAACCGTTTTAAGGCACTATAACCAAGTCTTCACAGCTTGGTTCTGGTTTAGCAGGGCTATTCTGACCATAGTGAGCACGCCAGCACTGCAACAACACAGCGAGTCAGCAATGCTAAAATCAAAAACTACAAGGATTGAAAAATGCCACTGTTCTACAAGTGTATTCATATTGTACATTTAGCTAACACGTAAGAAATAAAAGTAAATCAGAAAGGTACAGTATCACTGGAAAACATATGACGACTAAAAGAAGGTGGGCTTTTGGAGACTACTTTGGAAAAGTAGAGACTTTCTAAATTCTGCTAAGAACTAATGCCAACTGTTATCCCACAGTCGCAAAAGAAACACTAGGTAATCTGTTGAAGGAACTAGATAAGCTTCTACAGGTAACAGAAAACTTGGTAACTATCCAAAACGTGTAGAAAGCTTCAAAGAAACCTTCAGCCGCTGATTTCACGAAACATGGCGTAACTTTGAACCAGGCATAAGCCTTTCACCACAAATTTATAACACAGCCACGCGATATATTTACGTTCCATTTCATGAAAAGTTGCGTAGCTGCGCCACGCTTTTGCAATGTTAAATTTCTTGGACGAGCACCAAAAACGGCTTTTACAACGGCTGTTTGGAAGCTTTTGTTTTTTCTTCATTGGAACCAGCCCAGAAATCTTGTGTTTTCTCACAGCCAAACAAGGTTTTCCTTACCTTCTAGAAAATTTGTTTTTCAACTTGCGCAATAAAATGTGGCGTAAGTGGAGTTACGCCATTGCATGAAGTTTTGTGAAATCGGCTGCATATCCGCATGCCAAGCTGTCTAAGTACGAAAAAAAAGCTGGGATTCCCTCTGGAGATTTTGTGCAATTATTTCACGTCACTTTTCATAATTAAAATTATGTACACAATGCGGTGTTGGTTAAAAAAACATAAAGTCATCTACATGTACTTAGAGTCTGTACACAAAGAAGTTGGCTGGCCAATCTTGGCAGCAGCGTTCAGCTGGGGAGGGGATTGCTTCGAATCTCTGTTCTGTAGTGCCTGAACGTGCTGGGGTGTTGGCAGTCGTAGTCGTCCTCATTGTCCGTGAACCGATCCGTGCCTTGGTCCCGGTTGTCCGAGTCACGCCGCTTCTTCTTGGCTTGGCAGGACCTCAGCCAGGTGCGATGGATGCTCACTGATGCCACAGCGCTGACCAGGGCCGACAGCAGTGCCACGACCAGCACGAAGGCCGTGCTGATGGCGGCTGGCTGAGTGGCCTGTTGTGAGCAGGCCACCTCTGGCTGCGACTGTAACCGTTGAACCTCTGGGGCAGCATTAAGCAATGGTTCTGTGGAAGAAGAACATCATTTTATGTACAAGTTACATAAAAGAACACTTGGGAAAATGCAACCCAAAACATTTCTGATGGTATAAAAAATAACCCTCTCTCATCTTTAAATATCATCGCCTACCTCAATCATAAAAACTGAACCAAACCGGAAACATACCTGATATTAGACATTTGTAATCCATGATCAGACGACCAAGTTAATCCCAACCTATTACTTAACCCTACAATGCCAAGAATTTATTTGGACAAAACTCTCCAACTTAACTGTTTCACAATTTGGAGCACGTTTTACACCTAACACACTGAAAGAAAAGGTACATAAACCAACTCCAAATATCTTGGTCCTATAAGATGAAGTGGGTTTGCAGAGATACTGCGAGGGTTTTAGCCAGCGGGGTATCTGGGTGTCTTTCAGACACCCTAAAAATCCATTTTAAAAACATCTTTAGCTTATTAACTGATTCATGTAAAACTATCAATAGTCTACATTCTGGATACCTTGTTTTCAATCCAAGTTCCACTTAGGGTCTTATTTCCAAACGCTACCTTCAAACCGTGACCTACACTCCTTTCTCCCTCACCTTTGTTGGCGGAAGCGCAGAGCTGGAGTTCCTTGACACAGCCGATGCACTGGCCATCCGTGGGGTTGTCCAGCAGGCAGCGGCGGCTCCGGTGTTTGTGGACCTGGCCGGGTTTGGTGCACCGCGTCCATCGGCTCCACTCCTTCCAGCCCGACATGTGGTAGAGCCGGCTGGCACTGGGCACCGAGCTCTGCTCGCCTGATGAACCTGCGAGTAACATGAGGCCTGAAGGCAGGTCAGCTTCCCACGTAACAAGGTGGCCAGGGAACAGTAAATAAAAACAGCCACACCTGTGCTCCGTAGGCATGTGACAATAAGCATTCCAATTACCTGCCACACCACGTTTGAGCCTTCTTTCATTTGGAAAAATTCTACTCTGCTCTTTTGCATTTTGACTGCACCTTGATTATTATTTATTCATTTTTTATCCATTTACTTTTTATAATTGATTGCTTATTTGAAATTAATTTAAAATTGAAATTGAAATAAGGCTACCCTGTTGAAGTAAAACCGATGATAAACTAGAACTTACATTCACATGGGTAGTTATCAAAAGCAAACATAAAGTAACCTTAGCCATAATATGTACAGCTAAATTACTTTACTCAAATGGCTCCCAGTTGAGAAGTGAGTATACATGAGTGAATCAGCACGATTTTCATGAGATTTTGAGCACTTCGTGAGTTTCATAATGAGCCAGTTCGGTACTCCACACCTTAAATGAAGAGCACCCGAGGATGTGCGAGCAAAGTCTGCCCTATCAGCATGGCCCTGTGCCAACTCGCATGCGTGCTTTGTTCCTGAATGACTTTGCTTTTCTCTTGTTAGGCAACTGGCTTGTTTTGAGCCAACTCCTCAATGCAAATGGTCGTGGCAATGACACTGGGGGAGGGGTACGGCTGCAAGTAAACTACTTACTGTCAAAGTCGGCGCACTCGGCCATTGAGCACGTCTCGGTGACTCTGTCTGCCCCCTCGCAGTCTCTGCCCCCGTGGGCGGGAACGGGGTTGGTGCAGGTGCGCGCCCGTGTGCGAGTCCCCTCCCCGCATGACTCGCTGCAGTCCGACCAGTCACTCCAACAGCTCCAACCCCCGTCCACTGCGAAAGATGCAAATTAAAGAGGTCAACAAAAAACAAAAATATAATGACCAAGGTTTTGAAAACAAGTCCGTTAACGATGACTGATATGAATGAAGTTTTTAGTCTTGCTTGATTCTCTCCCCACAACTTAATTTGAGGTATAAGAGAGTTGGTAATTTGTGTTAAAAGTACAAATTTTCCAAATAGCATCTTGCATTTTCAATAACTGCTGGTGTACAACCATGTCATTAAAATCAGTTGTCCATGCGAGGCTGAGTGACCGATGAGAGTTAGCAACAACACTCTTACCAGGGCACTCGGTGTATCCGGAGCAGCTGCGATGCTGGTAGGACTCCCCTGCGCACTGTGAGTTACCAGGGAAACAGGACCGGTGGCGTTGCTGGGTGCCGCCGCTACCACAGGTGACACTGCAGGGTAACCATGGTGACCAGACTGTCCAGCCTCCAAAAGATCCTTTGAGGTTACAAGAAGTTTCAAAACCGAAAAAAGACCATCAACTTCCATGACGGCAAGCTAAGTTAATGGAGCTGCAAGGCTGACAGATGCATGCACTTAATCCGGGGGGGGGGGCATTGGAAGCCAAAGACCTCAACCACCCACCCCAAATTTTTTTTCTTTAAAAAACCAAAATTAGAGAAAGGCAATTATGGGGGGTTCATTTCATTTCCTTCCATTCCAAAAGTGTTTAAAAAGCCCCAAAATGTAAGCCCCACCCACTCCTCAGAAAGGGCATAAAGGACATGTGAAAAAATTTCACATTTTTCGGGCCTCCCGAAGCTATTCCCAGCCCCCCTCCAAAAAATGGTTCTGCATGGATCTGCCCTTGATAAGGACTAAACAATGAATGTCATTCAAGCATCTTTATTCCAAAAATCAACAAAATCAAAATCAGCATGCATCACTCTTGTAGGCATTTTTCCATGAGCTATCATGAGCAGAAACTCAAGGTGAAGCATTACAGCAAGTGGTAAAACTCTGTCTGAAATTTTGCCAGTTTCTTGGCACTGTCGAACAAACTTTGGGTTTTTTAAAATATGAGTGCCCTTTCTAGACTTTCGACTGAAATTCGGTGACAGGGTGGCAAAAGGTTGCCCTTTCGGATTTTTGCAACATGTTGTTGTTTGCGAGGTTTATTGACCCCCACCGTTTGCCCTCCAGCCAACTGTCGACGCGACATTCCCAGTCGTAATTTGCCAGATCCTGTTCCGTAATGCTTCGCATGACAGCGCCCAGACACAACCTGGGCACAGCGGGAGCGAACATTCGCGCCCTGCTGACGGCGTTAACAGGGTTGTCTAATCAACACCAGAGACGACTGGAAGGACAACAGCACTGATGACACTGGGTGCCGTCAACGGGACAGGAAGCCTCAATTGGTACCCCAGCAACTCTCTGGCGTCAATCGGGCTTGATGGAGCCCCTCAGATAGCCCAAATGGGTTCCCACTTTTAACCCATTGATGGGCCTGACTGTCTCCACACGTACAAGCCCAACATATTGAAGTCTTTAAGCTGGTTTCGGGCAACGCTGATTTTTGGGCATGACCTGCACCATCTGGACCTCGGCATGACCAAATATCAGAAGTCAACGACTTTCCCACCGAGTTGATTTATTTCACACCTGAGAAATGCACTTATCGCAGTTACGTCACTTTCTGGATATGAAAGTAATGTTTATTCTACATGTATATTGCTCATTTGTATGGGCTCCTATCAATAAGAAATAGGATACTGAATAAATTAAACACTTGTGGCTGAATCCTGAATCTGGTAGTTTTCTTGATTAACTGGACAGTTCTACAGAGTTGCCGAAGGAAAGGCATACGCTCTAGGCTAAATGAACTTTTGATGTCTTATTTCCCACACAATCTGTGGATCAGTCTGCTCATCAAGCTTCCTTTGTTACCAGTTGTAAACCAAAAGTCTTTTACCGCGCAGCGCTGGCCTCTCATCCGCAGTAGCTGTTCTCCAGGCAATCGGACCCCTTCCCTCGACTACGATCCACGGCCCGACCTACATCGGTAAAGCCACGACGAGCCCGGCATGAAGTCATCCATTATAGGATACCGCACCGTCTACCATCGGCAAAGATAAACATTGACAGGACGTCCCTCTGCCGGGGGAGCCCATATTGGAGTTGGGGGCGCGGGGGAAGCCAACACAACATGCTGCGGGGACACTTTACTGCCCCGTTGCAGGATATCCTCCTTCTACAGAGCAGGCTTGGCGAATCAAAAACAGGCCCCCCAATGGCCATCGCCCCGAGGTTCAACGGCAGCCACGACATTAGAATCAGCTGGTGTTATTAGAGCATGGTCAAATCAGGCTCAGTTCTCTGAATATTGTGCAAGGAAACTTGTGCCCCCCCCCGGCCTTCCCCGTCTAACATAAAAAAAGGAGTTTGCTTTCATGCTGAAATACACATTTAGCCAGAAGTGGGTTAAAAACGGTAGTTAATTCCGCTCCCCCCTCCCCAAAGGGCAGGTGGCTTGGGACTCATACTTTACTCAGCCCCTCCCCCCCAGTGGTTTCTTTATCAACAGACACAAATGTTGTGGGGAATCTATTTCAGATGATCGCAGGTTGGCTGCTGAATTCCTCTTCGCTGCATGTTGGGCAGTATATGCTAGGGATGGGCATCATATTTTTGTAAAAATATGGATCCAAAGTAGGACTCGATTGTGCAGGGTGACAGCACTGGTGTTTTTGAAGATTAACACCTTCTCCGAATGGGGACGATGGCAAGAATCCAGAGAGACTGAACATGCCCTTGTTAAAAAGTCTGCATCTGGAAGGAGGCCAGTAGAAGGGGGAGCACTTTTCAATAAATAAATAAGTCTCACTTCCCACTCTCTTCTTTTCTTTTCCCAAGACATTTTTTTTCCCTCATGAGAACTCGGAAATAAGATGAACTGCCAACATGTGGAGACATTTGAGAAAAGCTTCAATTTTCATCCCTTCACTGAAACTGCAAAAATAGGCTCCTTAAAAAAAAACTCCAGAAATGGCTCAATTTGCTAAGTAATATGGTCATTACTCAGCATGCTCACGGTCATTACTCAGCATGCTCATAAACTGTCCTGTCAGTACCAGACAAACGAACATGGCCAACACCTCTTCATGGTACGAGGAAACGACGTGAGGTCGCCAGGTCAGGTGCGGTTTTTGGGTCCCCTGGCGGAGCCGCAACGTAATGTGAGACACGCACACCTGACGTGTTGCTGCCCACTTTGTTGTCGCCGATAACTACAAATGGAAGGATGGCCAATTTCTGAGCAGAGCGGGCTTTATCTAGAGGTGGAAATTTAATGACTCCTTTCATTCTGGGCTGAACTTCCTGGTTAAAACCACGTTCAGACGCCTGGGCAGTGTCTCGTCGGGCAAGACATCTGTGATGCGACCCAAGAACAGTAACTCGTGGCATGACAAGTTCTTTGGGCAAGGTTAAGCACACACTCTCAATGGCAAATTTGACTTTGATACCCTGCCCACGATTGAATGGACAAGAGCTGGCAGGTTAAGAGCAGTGCATTTACAAGGAAGGATGTTTGCCTCAAACCATTATGCCACTGAAACGGGAGGCTGAACATGAATATCAATGGTTTGTGTAAGCAATCAAGCAGCCTCACCAAGACCTCTAAAGAAGGCTGAATGATGCCTTCTTCTCTAAAGCCCGTTCTATAAACGTATGCATATAAAAAGATATGAGCAAGGCAGGCGCGGTTTCTGCAGGAAGGGGCTTTAGCCTCCCATTGCAAAAATCAAAAACAAAATAAAAAACGCTGGAAAATATTGCTCTCGCCGTAGCAAAAGTAAACGGTCTAGGTCTAACCCCCCCCCCAAAAAAGTTGGCTCTAGAACTGTGCCTGGAGCAAGGTGGTGGGATACAAGACCTCATCCAAGGGGGCCCAGGCTTTCCAGGTTACTGACCCCTAAAGCCTTCTCATCACTCGCCATGGGAACTATGAAACCTGACACGCGCAGTGCACTGATAAATACGAAACCTGACACGCCAGGTAATGACGCAAATTTACAAGCAGGTACAAGTGCTCACACGCACAAAAACTGCTTCATCCAATCAGGAAGGGCTCACCGCCAGGGCACTGAAATACCCACCATCTGGAGCACATTCCCAAGTCCCAGACTGGAGTTCAATGAAATATCGCCTTCCGACACGTTTGTTTTCATTTCATCTCACACCTGAAACAGTGCAGTTCGTCATTCCAAAAAAGGACCGAGAAAGTTCTGTATGTTCCCCTTGTTAGCAGCTGGTGACAACAACCACCACTGAAATTTGATTTGTGACTTGTAGCAGACAGAAAATTGGCTGTGCACACATAGCAGAGTTGCAACCATGGCCTTTTTTAGGCACCATGCAGGCAGATTAATGGCCACTCAAACCCTGACCACAGCATGTGATGAACATACTTGAGGAAAAAAAGGCTGGAAAGGTTAAAAGGTATTCTTTCCCCAAAGAACACGTTATGTTTGTGCCAATATACATCTTCTGTGTTCTATGAAAAGACCTCTGTCACAGATTGACATATGCCATATCTTAATCTGGGTACGTCTGATCAAAAATGATTCTGACAGCGGGGGGAAACCCCACTGACGTCAAATTGAAATCACGTTCACATCCTCGGCCAATCCTCTTTGGCCCAATTTAGACTCATCTGGTCAATACGGCCAACAGTTAACGTTCAGAGAGGTTGAATCAGCATTTTTTTTTTCAGCAATATCGCATGCAGCAGGTTACCCATCCGAGGTCACCTGTAGTTTGTTTTCGGAACCGAAAATGTGCTGCTTTACGAGCAAAACTCACAGCAAAAATAAACTTCTGGACTTGTCATGACAGCATGCCGTGGCTGTAGAAGCAAGGCAAGATGGAATGAAAGTTGAGTGCGTTTGCAGACAAGTAACTTAAGAGGCAAAACATTCCAGCAAGTTTCATCAACAGCGACCCCAAAAGCTTGAAACGTGAAAGAAATCTATCTACCTTATACACCTCGTGTCATTCAAACAACACTACACAGCCCCCCTTGACACACTTGTCACACTGCATGCGCAGACTAACGTGATCCACAATCATGCCACAACATTGCATCACTTCACTCCTTCCGTATCAAGTATCACAGCTTCAGTCCGTTTCATCCTTTACTTTGTGGCCAACAGTCACGTATTCCCACACTCATGCTATTCATGCAGGGTGCCAGCTGGGTTTGGGTTGATGTAAAAATTCTCTTTCTTTGATCTTTTTTGACGCAAAATAAAAGAGATAAAAGCATCAGAGCAATAGCCAAAAGAGAGGCATCTGTGAAGAAAGTTTTTTGGCAGCATGCATATGTGAAGTTTTCAAGTTAATTTTGGAAAAGAAAGACAAATTCTATCACAATTGTTTTTTTTTAAAGAGCCAAAGAAAATCAACAGCAAGTGCATTTTGCTCGGCAAAAGAAAAACAGCTCGACAAACCAAATTGGGCAAAGTTGTGCATTTGGCAAATGAAAGTTTGGGCTTGTGGGTGCTCCAAGCAACCATTTGCATAAGAATGAGAATGCACAGGGTACCAGCTGTGTCGGCACCCCTGCCCCTCTGGATACCTATTAGTCTGTTCAGCTGCTCCACCTCCGAGTCCTCACCTCCCGTGGGCCAGCACGTTTTACTCAGGTATGGGCAGAGCTGGTACTCCACCTTCATGCGGCCGATGCGTAGCAGGGACCGGTCGATGACCGGCGCCTTGCACATGAACCGGTAGCGTTTGAGCAGGAAACTGTCCTGTGTGGCATTCTGCACCATCCAGGGAGTCCAACGAGTTGTCTTGCGCGTCTCTGCGGAGGGAGAGAAAGGAAGGGGTCAAGGGGAGGGGGGGAAGTCACTTCTGGGGCAAAAATGTAGTCAGGACTAGGGTCTGTAAGAGATATACCTTTTCATATATACACTGGACAGCAAATGAAACTTGCCACTTCTGTCAAAGGCCACACGTAAAAATTCACTCCATAGAAATAACCAATTTTTGTACACAGCTATGCTGCAATACCCCTTACTAATCACACGCCTAAAAGCAAGTGATTATCTTTATAACACAGAAGAAATTGTCAACTTGGTTACTGCCGTCATGCCTTTGCATTACATGCCTCTTCCGCCAACAGGGGTTGTTGTGACTTGCCCGGTGGACAGGGATACGTGTCTCAAGTTTGGAAGTGTGCACGTGAGCATGGCTCCACCACAGTAATGGCAAACTCTCTGGGTGAGCCCTTCACCTGAACCCACCTCGGCAGAGTTGTTTGTTGCACTCTCTGGTCTCCTCCGGGGTGCCCATGCAGACGTTGCCCCCTAGGCAGTGCCTGGACCGGGTCTGGATGCCCCCGTTACACTTGGCCGAGCAGACGCTCCAAGCGCTCCATTCGCTCCAAGATCCTGTGGGGAAGGGAATAGAATCAAGCTAGGCAGAGCCCGGGAACGGTTTGTGTGGAAACAGCAAACTATGGGTCCGGGCTGCACATTCACAGGTACACAGTTAGCAATGACTAAGGAATACTTGGCCGCAATTCACTTCAAAGAATAACTTGTCACCTGAATTCAGATTGGAGGTCTTGTGTCGGTCTTTGTAAGACCCTATCTTACAAAGGCCTTACAACGTCTTACGTAAAACACAAGACACTGATTTGACAATTTGTTCCCTGCCCTCGCTGTCGGGGCAATAGGTGTTTTACATTGCCTTTCACACTTCGGATTGGCCCACCTGTAGAGCACCAGAGCATGACGTCATTTTGACCGATAAGTAATGTGGAAAGGAGTGGCTTATGCACGCATGTTGATTCATGCACTGGTTCTCGGACTACTGTCTTTTACACACAAATAATTGTGAGCGTGACGTATTTCACTTTGGTACTCTGCAGCAAAGGCCCACAAAACTACCTGCACAATGATGTTTCCGAAGAGGTTTTAAGCATGCCGGCAATGTGGAAAGAGAAATGCAAATGTGGGAAGCTTTCGTCAGAAAAAAAAAAAAGATCATGCTGCTTGCCATGCATCACCAAGAAGTGTGATTTTTCAAAGGGTCATTCCACGAAGTTCGGGCACAGTTTGTGATGGCGTCCCTTGTTACATCAGTGAAAATAAACATTTTTTTCCCCTGCACGTGGATTCTAAATTGACATTGTTCTAAATCTTGCTAGGTTCTTGTAGTGGTGTGCTTCATCTTTGCTGAATAATATGACTTAATCTGTTGTAATGTGAAAATAAAGGGCAATAAAAGTTACCGATGTAACAAGGGATGCCATCACAAACTGTGCCCGAACTTCATGGAATGACCCCAAAGGAAAATGAAGAAGTCTGAGAGGGGTAACCAGCAACTGCAGCACCCAACAAAGCCGAACTTGTGTGGCAATCACATTGGGATAAATTTTTCACTTCACAGAATTTTCTTTTTTTTTCAAACAGCCAACGGTTGAAAGTAAACAAAGTCCAAGGCGCAAAAGTAGTCGGCAAACTATTTGCCACAAGGAACAAGCACACACAAACAGCACGGCAGGCACAGGCAGAGCACACAAAATAGAAGTTGCGACGAGGGAAAGTCATGCTTTTTACGTGTTCTTTTTCTTTCCGGGCAATTACATTGGGATTCATCTGTGATTTTTTGAGTTATAAATAGAAGAGGTTGCAGCTTTCGTTGTCATCCAACAGGAAACACCACCCAGCGGCTGCCCTGCTTTCGGTTCTAGCTCGTCCAACGGACCACAATGTCAGGTATGACTAAGGGGACGGGACTGCCGATAAAAAGGCACCCAGCCGACCTGTTGCTTGGCAGAGCTCACAGGCCGGCCGCTCGAGCCGGACCCCTCTCTATCTTTCCAGTGTTTTGAGTTCTCAATCACTACTGATACCATCTTGGCTGGGGACACCGTACCGCTCAAACTTTATTGCCAAGGAGATGCCTATGAATCACTCTTTTTTTTTTCATTTTTGTATGATTCATCTTTCCTGCCATGGTGTGGGCAGTTTGGAAGGAGGGGCGCTGGTCGGTTTAGGGGTTGGTGGTTAGCCTGTAATCGTCCTTGTACATCAAAGGATTTCTATGCTTTGCCAACGACCTTGTTGCTTCTCCGTGGAGTGTATGCTGTCAAAGTATTTTATGGATAAGTTGCATTCAGCATGACATCTGATGAAAATTTGACGGGTATGGCGAATTTTGATATTGGCTTTTTTCCTTCACCAATTTACGTAGAAGCACTACATGCTTGTGGCTACAACAGCTTTTTAGAAAAAACCCTATCAGAGGCTGATTCAAGCCCTCCCACTAGAAGAGCTCTCCTCTCACAATATGTTACATAGCTTCCAATCCTTAAGACAATGTCCTCTTATTTCATTCACCTTGCCTTTACTTCTGTATCTATTCATGTTACTGCTCATTTTCACAGTCTTCAACTCTTTACTTCCGTTTTGGATGTTCAGTGTAGTCTTCACTGTTTGTCACATTTGTTCTCGTCTGCTTTCAGTGCTTTTGTCCCTAGTCCAATTGTCTGTCCTTGGGCTGTTCTCTACAAGCCCTCGCTTATTTGAACAGCCCCATACTTTCTATCTTTTCAAGCTTTGTCTATTTTCTCCAATTATATTACATTGTATTTAAGGTTCATATTTATTTTACGTGTATTCTTTGATTCGTATGTTGAAGAAAGGATGGAAATAAATGTTATTTTTAAATTGAATTGAATTGGATTGAATTGAATTGAATCACTGTGCGAGCAAATCCTGGGCGACGCAAACTGATTTTTACAAAGCATCCAGGGCAAACATTGGCTGAAGATGGAGGGAGTTCAACTTTTGCAAACGACACGACACTGACGGGGGACAAATAAATTCCCAAAGTGCAGTACAAAGCCTCCCTTTACTCTTGATAGCTTTCAGCATCCCGTGCTGGTAAGACAACACTGGAGGAGGGCACAGAGTCGGCATGCTACAGGCATGAGGTGTGAATCATACACAGACTAGGTGATAATTGAGGTCTGGGGGAAAAGTTACACGTATGTCTTCCTGGACATCCACGCGTAATTACAACTTGTCAAATGTAATCTTGTACTGTCTCTGGTAAGGACGGATGGGTAAATTTCCAAGACCCACCCCTTCCAAACCAAGAAAAAACATCGATATAAAAAAAAATCAAAACAATTTATCGGTTCTGAAAACTTCCTTAAAATATATCTGCAGGATATTTTTTGGTAAATAACTGAATTTTGCAGGCTTGACACTGATGTTTTCAGTTTTACTAAGCGACCTATTTTTACTATTTTGATATCTTGACAAACAAGCAAACAATTTGGGAGGAAAAGTGTCAACATTTGTCAGTTTCCATCTCTAAAGTGCTCATGGCTTGAGTGCCACTTCCCTAAGAATCGGCCAAACTGATGAGAACAGCCGCCATGCTTGGCATGCAGGGACTGGCATAATATATTAGCAATCATGCATCCTCGACTCTTAAACAAGAAGTAAGGAAAAGGCTGCTATTTTAACACAAACCAACAGAGCGACTAGTAAAAACGATACCACAGTGAACACTGCCCGTTCAAAACATCTGACTTAAAGACTTAAATACTGCTCTTGTGCGGAAACTGTGGATGGAACATGATAGCCGACTGCAGAATTACAATAAGCTTTTGTGTAGAGAAACAAAAAGAGCCATGCTGGTGGGCGTGTTTATTTTGTCGGTAGTGACGCGTATACAGTGCATGCATCTCACAGTCTTTCATAAACCAGTGAAGTGCAGTTCCAATCAAACGAGCCTCCACTGCTTGGAACATTGCGCCCTCTCTTGGTACCCCTCATGACCTATAAGCCGTACGTGTGCTGGTGTAGGAACAGGGATAACACAACCACTTTTCATCAGAATCTGTACAAACCCAGAATTCCTTGCATTTTTAACCACTAACACCATACCCGCCACACCATGTCTGTGCAAGTTAACATGTGTGAGGCAGTGTTCAACTGTAATACCGTTTCAGGTGTCCAGCATGCAAGCCAATACACCACAATACAAGCAGATGGGTTGCAAACAGACAGAAAAACAAACAAACCCAAAACCAACTCAGAGGACAAAGAAAAAGAAAAGTTGGCATTCTCCTCAAGAGGCCCATGATGTACCTGAATTTCGCACGACAACAGCTGTACCTGAACAGTTGGTGACCTGGACACTCTCACCCTGACAGGGCAGACCGCCACACTGCGGGACCGGGGAATCACAGGCACGGCGCCTACAGAGGCACCTGGAGTCACCGCTAGGGTCCTGGCAGGGGAACCAGTCGGACCAAGCACCGTAGGCACCATCAACTAGAGGAGTGAAGACGCAACCAATGATTTCAGCAATTAAATTCTTGAAAAACAGAGAGAAAGACTTCATTTGCAGGCTCAAGGAAGTGTTCTTTTGTTTCCTGTTTTTTTTTTTTCTTTTCTGCTTTTTGTTTTACTATTATCAACTTCTTCAAGAGCTTGGAAATGACTGGACATTGAGTGCACTAGTAATAATCAATTCCCTCACAATAATAATCCCAAGCTCTGTGTTAAAGTTGGAATGAGCCAAATCTGCATGACAATGTGGCCAGGAACTGTTTCACATATTGGCTGCCTGCTTCCATTGATAAGCACTTGTTACTCATTAACAACTGTCTGGACAGTCTATACACTTCTCAAATCTCTCACCTGCCGAGTCGATGACCGGGCATGAAGTTATTTCCTGTATCCAGAGGGCCAACACATCGTTGCTATAAACGAGAGAAAGGGAAAGGGCTTGAGTCAAGAACATCGCCTGGAACAAGACTTAAAACCTTCAACCCTAAACCTTGAAGTTCAAGGGCTCAATCAACTTAATGGCATCCGTCCTACTAACTACCAGAAGATGAGATCTAGTCCTCTTTCTAAGAAAGGGGCAAGAAAAGAGCTTACTCTTGTGGTTTGGTCGTGCAGCTGTTGGTCTGTGGATTCCAACCACAGTAAGGATCCCTGGCATCTACGCATTCCCTGAGCAATGGCAAGAAATAACCCATCAAAATACACATCAACTGGTATTCATAATTTCAGCAGATTCTTGAACTATTGACATATTTATGTGAGAGTACCTCGTGTAGACACTGGTGGGTGAAGGGGTCTTCTTCCCATTTCCCCTGCTTTCAACTTGTTTGAATACTTCAAAGACAGAAAGTTTCTCCAAGACAAGCAACAGGGCACCCCTTCTCCATTTGGGAATGCTGAACCCATCACTGGAAGCGCCACCTAGCGAGCTCATGAGCGGCTGACGAAGATCATTTTACGACTCCTGAAGTTCTTGTTTTCAGGCGAAGGAGGGGGGGACACATGTACATTTTCAATGATGAGATGCCCTGCATGGGCTGAATGGTAGATTCCTGAACAGCGAACACAGCCTGGGTCTTGTCAAGCCGTAACAAGCACTTTAAGCAAAGTCATTGATAGAAATATGCCCCCCCCCCTTTCCATCTCCCCGCCCCCCCGACAATGTCACTCTCAATGCTTAATACATGTACAGTGTACATGTACAATTGCTTTGCGCATCAAGCCATTTCACTTCAAACTTGCCCCAATTCTACTCTCCCGAGGGTTCATCTCTGGGGTGTCAGGTGGCTCCGATCTTTGTACCCTCTTGCTCAGTGCCCAATGTAAGAAGTCGTATCGTGGAAGGCATCTGCGTGAGAAACTTGGCTGACTACGACAATAATGACTAACCCGCCCAAACCTGTAAGCCCCTTCCCATCTCCCTCATGTCAAAATGTCACGACCTATTCCGGATAACTACTCGGTAAACATTGACCAAGCATACGTGAGATCAGGGTGACATGCGGTTACCACAAAAATGACTCAATGAACACCGGCGCCTGTGCACGTTTCTCCCCCCCCCACACACAGCCAATGGCTTCAGTCCATATGCTGATGAAAAGACTGATTTTCTTTTTGACTAATCAGATCAGGATAAACTGGAAGACTGTGGCAAGTGTCTTTTAGAGACGGGTTTAACCACAAAATTATTGGTGATGGTGAACAGTGCATGTTTGTCCAGAGTGAAATTGACATGACAACAATTTGGCTAAATATTGAAGTTATTAAGAAATGTCAATGATGTTGCAGAAAACTTTAGCCGAAATTTGGTGGCGCCGAGAAAAGTTGAGGTTAATTAAGCCAGGAAGAGCGGTGCTGGTAGAAAATAACTTCACTGGCCCAAATTTTATTTTTTTTTTTTGGACCGGGCGTATGAAAGGAGGCCAGTCTGAAAGTTGTTTGTTTCCTAAATAATGGTCATTTTTTACTGGTTCATCAATATGACTGCTTCTGTGGACCACAGTCATCTACATTTGGAAATGCTATGGCAAATTTCCCAAAGAGAACACATTTTTAATTGCCAGGGGAAATCATGCTAGATAACATGCGACTGCTTCGGGCGGGGCAGCAGATAAGGGACAAATCCTTTCATCTGCTGTTAAGAGCATTAATGCCCTAATGAGCAGGTCTGGAACGAAAGGAGGAATCCTGGTGCCCTTGACCTTTGACTTTATGCCATCTGACAGGATAATCACAAAGTAACACTGCGGAAGTGGCATCATTTCCTAATGGCCAAAGATTCTGGATTTCCTACAGGCACGGTCACCACGAAGAACTGGCCTCATGCAAAAGATCCCCGATGAACCATTAATCATTAATGATTCAATGGGTTTGGCACCAGCCTTGGATTTTGCAAAAATCTCAAGCTTTTCTGAAAGAGAGAGCACCTCGCAGATGCATTATTTCGCGGACAAGGGACAGACAAGGAACGGGAAGTTCAATCACGAACAGCTACTCGGAAAATGGACAAACAATAAGAAACAAACAAACAGTGACAGCCACTGACTACACTTACTTCATGGTGGTGTACAGGTGACACCGTTGTACCGACACCATTACGACCCCGAAGGACATCCCGACATAGAGGGCACCCTTCAAGAAAGGAAACCAAGACATGATAAACTGGTCACATACCATTTTCAGTTGAGATGCCAAGACAAACTTGAAGCTATAAGCTGGCCAATCTTCTGGTATCTTTACAGATCTTATGAGGCCTTCTACGCCCAGCAATATGTTTCTTACTCAAAATTCACCATTCATGCACTTGACTTAAAGCATGGCTTTACCAGTGCTTCTCTAGACATGGAGAAAATTAAGCATTTAAACCTGTTAAGCCTTGTAATGTATTTCCTTAATCTGCAATTTCCTCGGACAATGTCTCTAACTAAAGTAAACGGAAAACGTGATACGTTTTTTCTTTTTTTCTCTTGCTTGGAGCTGGGAGATAACAAAATACTTCCGAAGTCAGAACCACACACACACTTTGGAGAAGTGTAACCCTCAAAAATTTGTGTCAGGGAAACCTCTACTGCTTTTGACAGATCACTTACAACTACTGCAGTTGCCAAACATGTCCCATTCACACTGGGTAATGTGGGACTGATCAAAACAAAACTGTCCGGTTTCCGATGCTGCGTTATCTCTTGGCTCCTCAGCGAACTTGTGCGCTTCCCCTCTCCCTTAGATTTTTCTCTTTCCTAAAGCATCTTCAGATTAGAATCAAAAACATGTTCCAGTGTTTGTTTCTTCTGGCCAGGACGACTAATAAACTTTCATCTCCGGAGATTTGTCTGGCTGTTTTTTAACCCACTTGCAGTGAGCTGGAAATCTTCTGAGACGAAAAGCATGAGGTGCAGTTCGACCTTTTCTGACCCCTTGATTTTTTTTTGTCTTGTTTTTCGTTATTTAATCAATTTTCTTTTTTTGGTCACTGGGAAATTGAAATCACTGGACTACAAGCTCAGACTGTTAGTTCCCAGAGGAGTTCCCAGCATGGTCAAGTTTGGTCATTTGGTGTCCATTCTCATCAACATCAATATCGGGCCCTGATTTGAAACAGTGAAGACCATCCCATTTCAAAACGTTTTGGAGGGGGGCAAGGTTCTGCACTCGCCAACTCAGACAATAAGCTCCAACGTCAGCTACACTCGTGATTAATAATGCAACTCACGCTGTGGGGCAAGCCAAAAAATATTCAGCTTCAGTTAGCCTGCTTGAGGTTCCGTACACCCCCCCCTTGGCGGGAGATTTTTTTCATGGAAGGGAAGCTTGAAATATGCAAGTAGAACTCACCATCTCTGAATGGAGCTCAATTTTCTTCAGTGGCTGGCATCGTGTGTTCTGCAAACAAATATTATACGTAAGATGTAAAACCAGCACGTTAACACTCTGCAAAGCTCAAATTTCATGATACAAAGTGTATAATTAGCAAATAACATTAAAATGACTTCAATTTCAAAATCTGATTTCATCTTACAAGGTTTACAGTGTTACAGCATTCAAGGAAAATATAGCAATGACAAGAATGGCTGTCTCAATACGGGCAACTCACAACAGAGCGCCACCAAGAGTCTGCAACGCGTTGGCCAATCACAATGCGCGAAATTTGTGGACCCTTTCCGAACTTGCATTGGGTCGACAGATTTTGCGCATTGTGATTGGCCAACGCCTTACAAACCATTGGTGACCCACTATTGTGAAGCGCCCGTATTAAATCTCGAGACAGTTGATGGAATACCTATGAAAAGACCCATCTCAGAAAAAAAGGAAGGAAAAGCAATACTATCCAAGAGCACAATGTGCCCACAAAAATCTGTTTGAAATTTCAAGCCGGTAGCAAAACCTTTAGGGGCGAATAAAGGTCAAACAGAAAAAAAACAACCAAAAACAATTCTTGACATACTGAGCAAATGGTGTGGGTGACAGATTAGGCAAGGCTGGAAGGCGTGAGCCTCATGCCCGCCAGGAAGAAGAGGGGAAAAAAACGGAAAAAGAAACGTCTGTGTGTGTCTTCATCAGCAGCTTCATTTCCCTACAGGGAAAGACATAATTGCAATTTCACACGTCCGGGCCCTGGATGAACTCCAGTTAAAAGTACAGGAGAGTACAAAAAAAAAAAAACAGCACGAAGGGGGGGGGGGGGANAAAAAAAAAAAAACAGCACGAAGGGGGGGGGGGGAATCAAGGGCAAGCGTGCACGCATGGCTACATTGAACAGGTGCTGTCTACATGATACATGAATGTGAGGCATATATCAGCATGATTGCTTAAGTCAGATGCTTCAACTCATCAGAAAAAAAAACACAGTCCTGTACTAATGACAGGCTCCTGATCCATCCATTTCTCCAGGTGGGCAAAATACTGGTCTCTCTTCCTTCAAAAGGTTTCAAGCATCCTTGGAGTCAGATGATTAAGTGGAGAAAGCCTGTTTAGTAGGCCGATAGCTGCACTTGAATTTCAACAGAAAACTAATGACAGTGGCAAGATAATGTATCTAGTAAAGAGGGAGGAAGATTCATTTCTTATCCCTTGACAATCTTTGACCGATGAAAGAGGTTATTGATTGCCAGAGCCATAAAAGTCCTTAAAGGATTCTTGGAGGAGTCCTCAACATTTTTCACACATTTGATATCCATTTTCATCAGGACACTGAGTTGAGCGATGCATCAAAACAAGAAGTGCAGTTGACTCTTTCAGATGCAGACTGAAATGAGAATACTGAAAGGCTGTAAGACTTTTTTGTGGGATCTGGACACATCTGCACCATACCATACCAAGTACTACCACAAGCCTCTCACCCTGGGCACTAGCCAGGAAGCCAAGCTGGGAACCATCAAACCCACCTGGCCAGCTGACTCAGCAGCCAAATACCCAGTCTAGTAGCAAGGGAACTTTTGGTGGGGGGGAGGAGGGTTGGAAAGCAACCCAGTTATCCAGCCAGCCTATGGATGAGCTCGAAATTAAGCCCATCATTTCATCATCTAGCCAGCCTCCTAGCTAGCCAAACAGTCAGTCTGCCTGCAAGCCAGCTAACAAAACAAGACCAGCGGAGCCTCTGTACTTACCGGAGTGACACAGAGGATCTCAGTCTCACAGGTCGTGTCGGTGCCTGGTAACCTGACTACCTTAGAAATCTTGCCGTCCTCTGCAAAAAAAGAAAAGAGTACAAGATGTGGATGGTATCACATAACCCAGGGTAGAGCAGGAAGCGGCGATACTTCAAAAGTCCGCGGCTATCCAACAGTGCAAAGCAAACACACGCTGGATGGTTACAAGCAGAGAGATACAAGGTAACAATGAAACAATGTACGGGACCAATACCGGATGAGCAGATGGCTTCCCCCGTCCTTTCACCCCGTAAAAAGTGCAGACGCCTGGAAAAATCTAAACTCCCACAAACCTAGTGGATATTTTCCTGCCCAAGCAGCGAGTACATGTCAAAGGGAAATGTGCCGAGGTGGGATGGTGTTACAACAGTTGGAATGCTGGCTTCTGTGATTTTTGGCGACTACTGTTTACTTGAGACCAATTTGCACTACAAAACACACTACACAAGAAATTCACAAACTACAAACTTTTGTCCTATCTGCTGTCATTTGGATTGTCCAATGGATGAGTTTAACAGCCCCTATGTTTCCACGAGTGCCCCTTTAAAATGTCCTTTATGTCTCCCCCCTTGAGGGGGAAGACCACAGATTGAAAGTGTGATCGAGTGTCAAAATGTAATGAGCAGCTTGAAACCTTCAGCAGGCTGGGGCGGCTCCGGTCACATGTGAGAAGACTACGTCTGAGGCTCAAGTCTCTTCCTCTAGCGCACATTAATGTGTAAGATCTGATTTCCTGGGTGCGGTTTTTGCTGTCAGAGGATCACTGGGTGCAGGCAGATTGTATTGACGGAACCCAGGATCTCCCCCCCCCGACCTCCTTCACCCAGTGCATCATGGGAACAGCCCGGGGCTGCACACGCTACTCTGCAGCCGCTCGTTGCTGTGCCCAAGCCTAATAAAGACTACCCCGAGGGGCAAAGTCGGGACCAAGTTGTGGAGACAAAAAGTCTGCCCCCAATAGTGTTTTGGATCCCCCAATGGCTACGTTTCAACATACAGGTTTCCCCCACACACTATCGAACAAGCATGGTTGTAGATTTTGAGTGTGCGCATTTTTTATAATTTTTTGTTTTTAATTTCTAATATTAAATGTGAAAGCATATTGAAAATGCCTCATTCTCCAGTGATGAACAGATGCAACACCTGAACCATAATGTCACTGAGGTGACGTTAGACATAGAGCTATTGAAGGTAAAGGGAATAAGGGATAAAGTAGGCAATGGATGGTCTTTCGGAGTGCATGGACCTAGTCTGGCATAGGGGAAAATTTGGATTGCACTAAGGTAAGATGAGGAAAAGTAGGGATGTATCATTTATACAGGCACAGGGTTAGTGAAGCATTTAAATAAAGGGGCAAGTTGGGCTGAAAGAAGTATGTATTAAAATGGCATACATCACACCAGATTTTATACCAGTCCTACAAAAATCTTCACTCCACATAAGAGATTTCTCAAAAATCTTGCAGGTCTATTTATGGATTCCTGAAAACGATCCTCAGGTTTTAGGTAACATTTACGGTATGAAAGAGCCACAGTCATTTTAGGAAGTTATCTCGCAATGTTTGCTCGCTTCAACTCTCTTCTGTCAAATTTCCCCTCTCCCCTTTTTCAGAGGAAAGAAAATTACCGTCTCATAAAAACAGCATCAAAAAGAAGTCCTGAAGAGAAGTATTGTGCCACTGGTGGCAAGTTCGATCCCATAAAAGCAAACCTCCGAGTGACCTATCGCCCATGCTGGGAAATTAGCCCCAGTATCAGTTGTCCTTCTTCAAACATTTCACGTGCCACTGAGGGGCCCCGACTCAGAACAGGCCAATTTTTTTTTTTTTTTTTTTGCAGTGTCTTGAGGCTAAGGTTTATCTGGGCCAGTCGGTCAACCTGTGGGCAACGATCCAGTTTCTCCACTGCCGGGCATTAGCAAATTAAAGGCCCCTCTTTCTTTTGGCAGGAAACATATAATTCGGGAAACTATTTACAGGAGAATATTTTGTTTCAGAACGTTGTTAATTTTTAGAGACAGGGCAACCTTATCAAAATCTCAGTAGATATACATGTACTTCGATTTCATGAGAACTACTCAACCTCTGTCAACTTATGGGACTGGCTTTTTTTGGAAACCAAAGCCTTGTACTGAATGATGAAATTTTTAAAGGTTTATTCTGAAGTTGTTTTTCCTAGTGATGGAGACTACACTCGTCAACTTCCGGGTAAATATTCTGTGAGAAACCATTTTTGTTCATCTAATCAAGCTGTAGAGTTATTAGAAATGTACAGAGGGTCTCGTCTCATCAGGGATTCATTAATTCAGTCTTTCAACACATCCTTCTTGTGTGTGACCCCATCAACCAAGACGGGTCACAACGTTAGGACGTGCAGGACCGGCACAATGAACACATACACAGTTCTCACTGAATTGTCGTCTTCAAAAACGAAGTGCTCGTCAAAATGGCAATGCCGACGATACATCAAAATGAACAAAATATTGCGGGAGGTTGCCCCAGTTCCCCTAACCATACTTTCCTGTTGCTGATATGAACCTGATGGCATCGCTGCTCAAACAGAGAAACTCTCCCCTTGTATCTTCCAATTCTGTCTGGGACTCATTTTATGAAGCAAGCTCCACTGCCCGTTTCCAATCAAGGAAACTGATCAGTGTGAAAACAAAAAACGGAAGGGCGAGGGAAACCCTGTTTGGCCGACTCCAGCTGTGTGTCTTGTCTCAAAACCTGGGACCCCCTGATGATGTCTACCGAGAAGAGCACTTTGGGGGCATTCGGATTTCCCCAGCCCCTACTGAGATCAGGGACACAAGAAGTGAGGTTACTCCACAGGGTAAAACCCCTCCGATGCAGTGCTGCACCACTGTACCTAAAAGGCTCCCTTTAAAAAAATCTGTACGGGGAGTCTGACTGCTTTTTTACCCGGAGGCGTTACGGCTGACTTCTAACCTGTAGAAATAGTTGAGGGGGATGATAGCGAGTATTTTCCCGTCAACCACTCAAGCTTCTCCAAATGGAAGGACCAGGTTAGGTCGAGTGGCCGGTGGCAAGATTTTCACTTCAATCTGAAACGTGTTCCCTCCTTTTTATTAAAAAAAATTCTTAGATAAATCCAAAGGCGAATCATTTAGGGATTCAAAGCAAGCAGTCTAGACAGGGGGGGGGGAATGCAGGGTCTAGGTGTGCCTATCTTTGAGGGCATTGTAGGCCTGGCAGGGAGGGAATCGTGGGCGGGATGAGTTCTGATTACAGGCTTATCAAGGTGCCGTTTCATCCCAGGCTGCGTCTGGGTTTCCATCCAGGGATAAAAACTCAATAGGAACCTCGCTATCTGGGGCAGCAGTGAGCAGTGAGCAGGCCACAAGGTAGGAAAATGTCCCTAAGAGATTTGAGACGGTAAAATCGCCCCTTCATTATACGCCCCTTGAAAGTGACATGCTTGTTTTCAAAGAGTGTATGCCCTAAACGCTGCCCGATTTACTTGCGTCAAAACACAGTTGATAAAATACAGCAATGATACCTATTGGAGCTAGAGATCTGTGCAGCAGGTGTCAAGTTGTAGGAGTTTGACTGTTTCAGCCAAATCATTTCTACATTTCCTTGTGATACCAATGGAGCAGCCAATGGTAGTCTTCATACTCTTAAACTTGATAATGTTTACTTCACCCTAACAGGGCTAAATCTTTCAACTGCAATATGATTTTACACACACTGGGGAGTTGCTCTTAACTACTGGGGGATGGTATCACCTTCCTAGTATTTCCAGCCCCCAAACTGTGCCTGCAGCACAAATCTGCACTTAGTTTTCTTTCTTTCTTTCAAGCTACAGTGTGCAACAAGAGATTGGTATCCTACTCGGTGTCTGCATCGGAAAGGAAAACAGGAACGCGTCTCTCGCCCTCCCCCATCAACTCCGCCCCTTCCTGCTGTAAACCTAGACGTTCCTCGTCTTACCTGTGCCAATGAACATCACATGGTACGTCTCGTATTTCCCTTCGACGACATCCACAACAATCCGATCAAGCCTATCAGGTCAAAACAAGGGGGAAAAAAGGAAGAACACAGTCAAAAAGAAACCGGAGAGTTCTTTCCTTTCCTGAATAAACAGTGAATACCCAAGACTTCATGAGAAAACAATGTGCTTTCTGCATCTCAAGAGTAACATGTCTGAAGTCCAACTTTCACTCTGCTGGCGTTAAGCTTAAGTCACAGGAGAATAAACAACAAAACCTACGGAGCGGTGGCAGTAGTTAACCACTGCTGACATAACACAAATTTACACCAAAGAGTATGAATACTACAGATGGGTGGCATTACTTCACATTCAATATTATGAATAAGCGAGAAACCCTTAAATCAAGCACATAACATGCCAGCATTTAATTGTCCAAAAATCTCCTCCTCTTACTCCTTTTAACAATGCCAGAATATTAATTTAGGAGGCAGCTTTGATCTAGAAATGTCATAGGAAAGGACTTGGGATTACACGTATAGAGCCTCCCCCCCTCTTGTCAATCTGCATTTCTTTTCAGCGGGTATGTGATACCACCATCAAAGAGTTGATTGGAAAACCAGGCCCTGTCTTTCTGTTCTGTGGGATGAAATCCTATAGAAAACACCTATTATGTTGTGCAGTTGCTGTACACCCAGATGGGGTTTCTTTCTTCTGGGATAATGCGGTGGGTGGAGCCCAGACCCTGGATGCCAGGTTAAAAGGCTAAGAAGTCTGGTCACAAGATCAAGCGCACCCAAAAGAAAAGGTGGAAAGTAGCACCCAGTTTGATGCCTTAAACACGTGCTGGGAGACCAAACGTGGGGGTTTCTAGCAACAAGTCCACTTTAATAGCCAGTCGACTAGGCGCGGGAGAAACTCGAAAAGGGGCACGTGGGCAGGTGAAATCAGCAGCCCAGAAAACTGGGTCTGCAGCCTCGCTCGAACCCAGGGAAAAAAAGTTCCCTTTTAACCTGGGCACCTGATGCATGTCACACTGACTGCTGAGTGCATCTGGCAGCATTTTGCTACAAATGGATTTGCCCAGGGGTCAGACGCTACAGAGCCTTTCACCAGAAACACCACTTCCCTTGTTGTACAAGATTCGAAAGACCCTTTTTTAATTTCTCTGGGGAGCTGGACTTGGGTAGAATGTATCAATTTGAATTTGAAAATCAACGAGCCAGGACTAGAGATTGTTTGTTAGCAGCCTGCAGCTGCAATTGTATTTCCTTGACCTCTGCCATGGTGTTGGACCATTGGAATACTATCCAATGTGGGACGAGTAAGATTTCCTTTTTGAGAAGTAACCATCAAGTTGTCCTTTCTGGTCTACACCTGTCAAGCCCACAGGAATGTTCAAGAAATAGACACTATTTAAAGGAATTGTTCAAAACAACTTTGAAACATCGAGGGCTGTATGGGTAATTTTCGAAATATAACAAGCAAATTCAGAGGAAAGTCGCCTGAAAAATGGGGAAGATTTCTGGTATCTCATACAAAACAGTGCATCACAAAATTTGATATCTGACACTAGGCCACTGGACAGTGCACCTTCAAGGAATTTGCTGAAATACACACTAGTCTGGAGGACCATGTCACCAGAGCATTTACCACCAGCCCTGTGTAAATTTCTGTGCCTTACAAAAAGCTTGACAAAATAAGTGTTCACTTCAGGCCAAAGCAGACCCAAATCATTTGACAACTGCAGCAGATGTTGGAACTCGTAACAATCGCAGCTTTTTATTAGCACAGAATAAAAATTGTGAATTGGATAATTACGAGGTGAGCCTGGGCAACCTTAAGTCTCACTCTCCAACCCCTCCCCCTTTCCTCCTGGGGGCTCGTGAACAGAGGGAAGAACATGCACGGGAGTTGGGAGAAATGTGGGTCGGCTGGGGATGACGGCAAAAATGGCCACTCGATTTGAAATGTTGCCGAGCTCTGGTTGTGGCAGGTTGTACCATGTTCAAATGGTTCAACGCACACCTTTATTCGGCGTGTGTTTTGGGAATGAGGAAATTGCAGGCTGTCGCACACAGAGACTGTCTGTCGTTGTCTGGAGCTATTCAGAGTACATTTTCTGTTTAACTTTACAATGTATCACCATTCTGATTTTGTTTTCTGGTCTTACAATCAAAATATCTGAGAAGTACCTGCTGAGGTCGTAAAGCGGCAAAGGTGAGAGGAAGTTACAGTGCCGATTACAAACTTTGAAGGGATCCTTTTTTTCCCACCACTCTGTTTTTCCTTTGACACACATTGAAAATCTGTGTTGCATCGGTGACTTGTTCAATCTTTCTCGTCCCTTCCATGAACCACACACCTGAGGCCTACCCCTAAACACTGAAAAACTTTTCATAAGTGCACATCATTGTGTGGTCAAAAGCCACTAGCTTGGCTACCACACAAAGGGGAGGGCAGCCCCTTAATTTCTGGCAATGGACTGCCCGACAAAGATAACAGGTGGCAAGGTGATTGCAGTTGGAGGGGGGGGGAATGACCGCCGGGTTTGTCTGGGTACCTGGGTATCGCAGGGAAGGACAATACCCAGCTTTGGTGGGCGTGACTGGGATACCACTCAGAGAAGGCTACTTTGTAGATGATCTAAAGAGAGAGGGAACATGCCCAACAGGTGTGCCATGATGACACTGTCAGAACCAGAAAACTGGAACTTTTGGGGCAATGACACTTAATCACACAATTCTATATATCATACTTAAACAGTCGAGACTAGTTCTAATTCTGGCTCCAGAATTTTGAAAGTGACCATCTTTGAATCCTTTTTTTAAAATCTGTTAGGTTGGGCCTAAATTTCACGCAACTTCCCGCACTTATTATCAAAGCATAATTGTTATCAATGCGAAATATCGGCCAAGCTTTCAAAACACTGAGCCCCTGAAATACCGTTAACGGCCTCGTGAACCACTAAGTGGCTCCAATCTTGATATCAGCCCCAGAGGACCCAAAGTATGAAGCTCGTTTGACTTTCATCATCAGAACACAACACCAATCTCAAATTCACAAAAACCACAAACAAATGAAACGAGAGGGCTCTGGAATAGTCAGAAGATTGAAAACCTGACCCCGGTTTTGAGATGCCTGGAATTTCTTTTCTCTCTGACTTTTCTAACCCAAGAGAGGCATATATTACTGAAGCCTGTGATGGATAACAGAGTCATGGGTGCTTGGGGGCCAGCAGAGGACAATGAGCCAGATTACCAGGACATTTGGGCATTTCAAAATTTAGTGTGAGGAACTCAAGCAAAAGGGAGACTGGAAAGACATGAAACTTTGGGGTCTTTTCAAGGAAGCACTTCCTGGTTTAGTGATGAAAAACTCGTCGCTTTGTTTCATCCAATTTTTAGTGCCAGGAAGAATTGCTGAAACTTTCGGCTTGGACAAACTAAAAGGTTCTGAAACATTTTTTAAGGAGGGAACTCGGAAGTGCAAAGCCTATTGACACAATCTCAAAGAACCGTGGAAATATTGGAATGTTTCTCTCAAGTTTAAATTACTCTTCAGGAAAGCGTTAATAAAAGCAACTTTTACAATTTGGGGGAGGAAAGGAGGCTAAACTGAGAGTTTGTAAAGGAACTGGTTTCTTTGAAGTCTTTTCGAACAGGTACATGTGTCAAACCAACTGTTCAAATTCTCGAGGGAGACACAACACAACCAAACACAATCTTGAATTAGATTATTTAGGAACCAGCTGTCTGGACGACCAAGCACCAAGTTGAACTCGACAGGCTGGCGGAGGTGATTCAGGGATTTATATATTAGACTGTTGCTAAACAGATCCTACTAATTGTCTTGTAAATGACTCTAATCTGCAGAGGTCACTCCTGGACACCTGGTGGAACCATTGGGGCCAGAAGACCCACCAGCCCACTGGTCAGTTGCATATGGCCAGTCAAAATCCATTGCCTCTGGAAGTTAAACATCCTATTTCTCTTCCCATCAGGGGCTAGGCAGCTAGATTTAGTGCCTGTCCAGTTGGTGAGATGCCTGAGGCCTGAAGGGCTGGGCGAGACTGAGGCCTCCGGACAGAAGGTCCGTCTGGAGACTTCCAAGGCACTGTGAGGGCTGGTGACTATCTTAACAACTCTCATTCCCTCCTCTTCTGAGGGCCCACCCTTGATCTTGTCACTGCCCTTCATCGAGGGCAATTTCTCAGAGCTAGGGCTGCACCTCAATCACTTGGCTGTGGCTTGAAATTGCACACAACTCTATGGAACTGGCTGTAGCCACTACCATATACTTGTGCATGATTACCAGCTCCAATCAGGTAATTTGGCCAGGACATTCCAGGACAGAGATTTGCTAAGTGAAGTCAATATCTGCTCAGCCACAGTAGGCTACCAGTCAAAATCTGCTACATTGTTTTGAGTAGTTCCCGGCAGAGATATACTATTAGCACCTGAATTCGCTTAGCAGGATACTTCAGCTCAGCATATCTACGAGATTAGGGCCTGGCTGAATCCTTTATCTGGAGAATTGCGAGTATTGGATTCAAGTGTCCAACAAACTCGGCAAGTACAATATGTAGTGATGAACTCTTTTTTTATCAGAAATATTTAGCACTGAGCAAAATCTGTGTGTTCCAAATCTGCTGGACCGTCACTTATCACATTTAACATCCGGGATTAGGATTCTGGACAGGAGAATGCCCAGATGTAATTTATCATCCACTGGCCAGACCAAGGGGTAAAAAGAACAGACTTGATGACCAATTTGGCCGTTTGGAATATGTTGAAAAATCAACAGTCTTGGTGATTTATGAGGAATCCTGGGTCCCCTGGACTCATAAGATGCACTCCGGGCATCTCAATCTACAGAAAACAAGTTTGGCTCCACTCATCTCCTCCCGAAGGAATTTGTTTTAGTTTTAAGATTAGTTCTAGCCCTTAATTTAGTCCAATGTCAACATGCCCAGAAATGATGAAACTCTGAACCTCTATTACAACAATCCTGTTCAATTGTTCCCCCAAATTTAATTATTTCCATAATCAAAGTCTGATTTACGATGCCTTC